CTGGAAGTTTAGAAGTAGCTTCATACTCTTAAGCATCACAATTTTGAAGATCTTTTTGACAGAAGCTACGCTTGAGACATTCTAACGGCGTGCCAGTTCAAAAGCATTTGCATTATTGATATTTGAAGACGCCTACTCTTTTGTTCTTTTACTGTTTCCAGCTAAAAGTTTGCCATTTAGTTGCCTAAAATTCTCTGTATTTATATAAATAAAGAGATGTCTTTTCTTGATAATTTCCCTTTTGCAAACATCTTATTTTGAAAGGTTAAAACATATAGCTTAACTTGAAGTACATGAGATCATTTTGTATTATTGTGCAAAAGATTTTGGAAAATACAGGTATTCTGAAGCTGACAATAGTTTATACATGTAAGCTTGTGTGGCTACGGGAAGCTAAAACTTTGGAGTTCGTAGAAAATTTCAGCCATTAAAAGATGACCCTAAGAGATTGTTGTTTGTCGAGAAGTTGGTCATGGATACTGGTGGGTTTCAAGAAAGAAAAGAGTCAAGGTCATGTTAAGCCGAGAGATATGGAATTGAGATTGTCAATTGGGGTGAACTGGTCAAGCGTTCTGTGCCCAAGATGAAACCGAGTTCCATCGAGATCAAAGGAGATAGAGTTCCTTCAAAGAAGAAAATGTATCAAATTGCATATTTGCATACATTTAGGCATGAATAAGATCATGACACTCATAATTGCATGATGACTTAAGTATTTGCAGGTTTCCCAATGATAGTTGAAGATTGAAGAGTTTGAAGCATCGAGATGAAGATAACTGGTCTTGAGATTTTGACAAGAATGTTGTTCAGACGAAAATTGAGCCAAAGCAGATTCAAATATCCAATGGCTTTCAGACAAGTTTTTATGATAGAGATGAATTTTTAGAAATTTTCTCAAATTCTAAATTTTTGAATATAATATTTCTAAGCATATGTTCATAATTGATAATGTTTGATTTTCAGGTTTGACCTTCAAAATAAGTAAATTTAAGCCTTCACGAAAGAGTAGTGAAGCAAACTCGTTTGTTGAAGATTGAGTCCTATACTCTCTGAAGGAATAGGGAGCGGACCAGTTTGTTGAAGATTGAGTCCTATACTCTCTGAAGGAATAGGGAGCGGACAAGTTCGTTGAAGATTGAGTCCTATACTCTCTGAAGGAATAGGGAGCGGACAAGTTCGTTGAAGATTGAGTCCTATACTCTCTGAAGGAATAGGGAGCAGACACGTTTATTGAAGATCGAGTTCTATACTCCCTGAACGGATAGGGAGCGGACCCGTTTTATGAAGATTGTTCGAGTTCTATACTCCCTGAACGGATAGGGAGCGGACCCGTTTTATGAAGATTGTTCGAGTTCTATACTCTCTGAAGGAATAGAGAGCGGACCCGTTTTGTTGAAGATTGTTCGAGTTCTATACTCCCTGAACGGATAGGGAGCGGACCCGTTTTATGAAGATTGTTCGAGTTCTATACTCTCTGAAGGAATAGAGAGCAGACCCGTTTTATGAAGATTGTTCGAGTTCTATACTCCCTGAACGGATAGGGAGCAGACCCGTTATTTGAAGATTTTTTAAGTCTCGCTTATCCTGAAGTAGCAGAGAAGCGGATTAATCTTTTGAAGTTCTAATGGTCGGACAAACTTGATCATCTATTCTTCTTTGCTCTATTTTCGTTGCACGACAATGAGCAAAGAGGGGCAGCTGTAGATGCTCGGTTTTGTCCGGGGCTAGGTCGGAGCAGACCCAAAGTAGAGCAGTTGGAGGCCCAAACCAATGACCCGACAGAGCAGCCCAAATCAGTCCAAACAACATGTTATACTAGCATCCAGTCCACGTGGGTTCTGGAAAAACACAAACGAATATCCAGTGGGAAGGAGAGAAGTAGTGTTTGATCGTGGGTGGGATATGAAACTGTAAGTTGGTTTTTTAATTTGTAATTAACCACTGGAAACTAAAGGGGGGTCGGTTTTTAATGGGGGACTAATCACCAGAAACAGAAAAAAAGAGGAAGGAAAAGATCAGACAAAAAAAAAACGAGCAGGAGATTACACAGAGAACGAAAAGGAAAGAGGGGAATTTGTAAAAGTTTCTGGTTCAACATTTGAAAAGCAATAAAAAGAAATATTTTTTTCTCTCCTGATTTTCATTCTCACAATCGCAAGGATATCAATCATTCACAAAAGGGCAGTAGCATTCTTTCAAGCAAAAACAACAAAAAAAAACATCAAGCATTAATAAGGAGGTATTTCATCTTATTTTGTTTATTTTTACTAACTATTCGTATATGTGGTATTTATTTAGGAAGAAAATAAGGGTAAGGAAGATAGAAATAAACAGTTAGATTTACCTCAGGTTCTGTTTTGATTGATTGTCGATGTCGTTGCTGCATCGAGGTTGGGTCTCTGTCCCGTTTGGTTCGTTTTTTCTTTGGTGTTTAGGGGGCGAAGCTCTCGGGTTCGTAGTCTGAGATTGGTTTAACACCGAGTCATGTTGGTTTCATACGTTTTGAAATTTTGTTTAGACTAGAAGCAAAATCAGAAGAAAAGTTAAAAGAAAGGTTCAACTTAGCTTATCTCGCCGGTTCTGGTCCTCGTCGGAGTCCATAGGTGGTGTTGGTCATTCGTTTTGGTTGAGGGCTAGAGAGGAAGGAGGCGTCTAGGCTCATTAGGTCGATTCGGGTGCTTCATCGCTGGTGACCACCACGGTAGTGGTCGGAAAAGTGAATCGTGCCTGGGTTATCACAGAGGGTCGAGAGAAGAGGCGAGAGGGAGAGTGGAGAAGTTGAGAGGGTATTACGGCTGGGAATGAAAGTAATTAATTTAGGGTTCAGTTTTCACCCTATATTTTGTATATATGAATTCATTGAAACGGTAGTGTATAGGGCATACATTTTACACGTGGTTTATCTGTGGGATGATCCATTCAATATTCCAATATTATGCATTTTGGTCCATAACCACCGCGTTTCTGATTTTGTAACCTTGTTTTGCACCTATTTTATTTCGGTCTGTATACTTTATGCACATTTAATTCTCGTCCTAAAGTGTTTATTGTACTTAGTCTTTGCTCTTTAGATATTAGACCTTTTAAATTCTTACATGTTGGATTTTAGTCCATTTGGTTTGTTAAATCGAATTTTGTATTATTTGTGTTTCTGGCCTATTACTTTGAAAGTTTATGCTTTGATCCCTTGCGAATTGTTATTTTATGGTCCCGATATTTGTAATATTTTGTACGTAAATTCATTGATGCATGTTTAAGATACAAATGCGTGTAAATAAACATATATATATATATTCAATAATTAGGTTTAAGTTTGAATTAATATACTTGAGTAAATATCAATTGTAATATGTTGAATATTTCTTTTTAACAATTACGTGAATTTGCATTGGGGATGTTTATTATATGCTATATTTAGATGCTATGGTTTTGTATGCTTAGACTTCATATATTTAATTTAGGTAAGATAGTATAATGCTTAATTTAAGTTCCATTTTATTCATTTGCGTACATGTAGGACTAGTCATTTTATCTTGATTGAATGTTGTATGATATTTTTAATTATAATATTTGTTTAATTAATTTTTGGCATGTGGCATACTTTTTGCATAACTTGTATGATATCCTCATGTGCATAACTCGACCATACGACATAATTGGATTAAGGGTAATATATTTTTAATTTAAAATTGTTTCAAGTGGGCAGTCATAACTGATTTGAGGTCCGCTTTTAGTGATTTTAAAATAAAAGTGTATCCCGAGAGTGAAACCAAAAATTGATTTGTCACCTAAAATTTGGGAACGAAAGAAAAGGAAATGTTCGTTTATTTAAATTTATCGAGAAAAGGTTGTTATAACTTTTAAGATCTGGTCTCGACATTTGTAAATAATCGAACATTCTTTGTCTTTCTAAAACGACTCGGTAATTTTAATTTAATTTATTTGAGTGCTTTTGAATGTTTTAAATTTACATTTTTATTTTATGGGATCAAAAATCAAATTGAATTCGAATTTGTAAAGTTCAATGCAATGACATTAATTAATCGATTAGGTACCGATTTAGGGCGTTGTGGGGGTGCTAATCCTTCCCCACACGTAACCGACTCCCGAACTCTGATTTTGGTAACTCAGACCTCAATTTGTTGTTTTAATTAAAATTAATTTTTATTTAAAATGACAAAGCATTTTTGGGTGCCCAATCACACCCTAATCAAAGATTGGTGGCGACTCTTTGAACCGTATTTTTTGATCATAAAGGAAATCCAGAGACCTTTCGAAACGAAAGGTCTTTTAAATCGCATTTATTTATTTTAATTAAAAAGAGATAATTAAGAATTAATGTGGTTTTCAAAATCTTACCTTTTCACCTTTTAAGGGAAAAATCGTTTCGACAGATCTATTTTGTAACAGTCTAATGATATCTTATTGATCGTACAACAAGTCAATTTATATTTACAATAATCTATAAAGCAATAAATAATGACCTGTAAATTAGTTATTTCAAACACCACAGTGAAACCGTTTGTATTGGTATTAAACTGATATCAATTTATTAAAATTTATTTCACTCATTTTAGCCATTTCGGTCAATATCGACACTTATCAATGTGTACAGACTTTTTTTTTCTACTGGTTCAAAATTTTAATTATTTTAAAATCAGTTTTTATTTTATTTTTATATTAACCATTTGTTTTTCTTACATAAATATATTCAAAGATAAAAATTTAAAGAAATTATTAAACTTAATTAATAAATTTAAAATTTATATTTTATCTAAATATATAAATATGTATGTAATTGAAGTATATTTGTATTATACATAATATATAAAAAATGTTTAAAAAGATCAATGATGAGTCTAAAACAATACGCTGATATTAGTATAAGTATTATATTGAGTGAAACTTGCACAAGCAGCTACTTGCATAAGTAGGTTCGGAGCAATATAATTCCAGAATAATGAGAAACCTACTGAATTTTAAGCACAACCAACTACTTGCACAAGAAGTAGCCACCATAAATATAGTCAATACAGAGCAATAATATTGTTTATTACAAGTAATAGTCAATAGATCTTAGGCATAACATGTTTTCACAGACACAGCAAATGTCAAAGGATCTCCCGATAATCAGTTCATTGTCTCATGAATAGATATAGTTAATAAAAACAGCAAGTACAAGGCTGATGATCACAATCTATTCCGAAAGAGATCGTGTCATTATTGTTGGCGCGCTTATTCCTCTTCCTCTGCTTCCTCCAGCCACTTTATAAAGGGCTCCAGAGACTTCACAAGGGTTTGCCTGCACAATAAATTCCAGTGCGTTGTTTAAAGCATTGTACGACTTCATCAAGTGGGTTCGGACGATATAGGAATGAGCCTACCCTTCATTGTTTCTCTTTTGTTATAATTTTTTTATGTGAAAATGAAACTTCCAAGGTAAAAAGTGAGAGTTCAGTAATTCTGAACTATCTGTTCCCACTAGCAACTCAAGTGCAAAGCAGAACTACCGGTGACACCTCAATATACTTTTCAATGACATCACAGCAAATATAATCTGAATACATACCTGCCCTTTGGGTTAGTTCCTTTGCGGAACCAATGAAGAATGGTGTCTTCAGCAAGGACATCCTGGTCATAGAGAGACTTAACAATCTCATGGAATAGTTTCATCAATTTTGCATCCTCGTAGCATTGCATCTGAACTTTATAGATAAGTTCCAGCTCAAGTTTGCCACTGGTGCAGAAGGAATTTAACAGCTTTGCCCATGTTTTGACCTTTATAATGAAAATATCTCCCAATTAACAACTTATTCCACCATTTGTTATAAAAAATACAACTGTTAGTTTAGCAATAGTTATCCAAAAATTCCTAACAAGTTATTCTTCTAGAAAGATATTTGAATCTAGCCAAGCAAAACTACATCATTAATCAAGCACCGCTATAAGTATTACAATTTAACAGGGACGGGATAGCAAATTAACATGTGGGAGCAAATAACTATTGGACTTACGCACAGGACAGATAGTAATGCATTCACGTTTAACATTATCAATGTTAGGGAAGGTGTCCATAAAAGGTAATCAATTTCAATCACCATGTTATTAATGCTTCCTAGGCCTAAACAATGAGAAGCTCCACCTTGATTCCGAACATTAGAATAAAAAATAAGCTCAAGTTCGATCGAGTTCTAATTTCAAACCTTGGGCTTGATTCAATATAAAAATCAAATTATTCCGCTCGATCGATTAGGCTCATTTGCATAGAAAAATGCTTAACTTAAAACTCGATTACTTATACTCAAGGTACTCAGCTGACCATGACCAAGCCAAATTAATGCTTTTCAGACCAAGAGCCACTAACATGTGAGCACATCTCATTTACAGCCATACATCAGAAGTCATAAAACAAAGAATCAACGAAGTGGTCGGTGTAAGTTGGCAAAGAACAGGCAATAACATATATCAAACAGTATTAATTAAACAATAGAACTACATGACAAGAAACACACTAAAGATCTTATTAAAACAGAAACCAAATTGGCATGTACTATACTCAACAAACTAAACCACATTATAGCAAGGAAAATTTTTATGCACAGGCTGCCTAAAATTTAGACTCCACAACCTTGAATATTTGAATGTCATTTGTATTATTTAGAGTTTAGGGTTTAGAGTTTTAGGTTTAGGGTTTAGGTTTTTAGATTTTAGGGCTTAGGATTGAAATAATTTCCCATTAATTAAATCGTAGAATTACGAGATGAAAAATACAACTAAAGATATTACTATTAAAACAGAAACCAAATTGGCATGTATTAATACTCAACAAACTAAACCACAACAAATTTATTAATTGGTCAAAATAAGTGTATAAGAATCAATTATTCCCTGACCTTCCTTAGATTACAGTCCCAAGTAGTTACCCAATTTTCTTTATTGAAACCAAGGAATTGACACCCAAAAGATTGTTTATAAAAAACAAATCATCTTTCCCTGTTTTCTCATTATCCACTCATCAAGACACTTTCCAAATCCAAATAATTAAATCAAGGAAATAGAAATATATGCATAAGCTATTCTGGAAATTAGCCACATCCACATCTCTGCACGAGTGCACATCCACACATCTTATTTACCAAGAAAAAAGAGGACAAAGCAAAAGACCAAAGACAAAAAGTAGAACACTCCATGGTTTCTAACCATCATTAGATCATAGAGTAGTACTTCATAATCTATACTAGTTGCACGAGTTTCAACACATTTTACTGTCCTTTTGCATGTAGGTTGCAGCTAGCACCATCCATTATGGTGTTTTTCTCTTGTGAATTGTCTAACATATTTGCAAAAAATGTGGAATAAAGTGATTTCCTGAATGCATGTGAATTGGAAATTATGACCTTGTTTTCAATAATGTTAAATGCTAGTAGATTTCTTTTATTTCAGTCTAATTTTTTGCTAAAGTCCTCATCTCCTATGATACATTGAGTTTCAATCGAACGAGGGTAAGGGGAACAAATGTCAACAAACAATCTATTACCTGTCGCAATGCCGAATTGGCATTCTGCTGTTGGTTTTTTCCAGACCACTGAACAGCATCCATTAATACATCCCACAGAATTCGTACAACCTCAATATCAGGTAGATTAGCATCTTTGACACGTTGCTTAACAATTTCAATGACTTCAGATATGTCAGAATCCTCAGCTATCAGGGTCGTCAAAGCAGACTTCATATCCTTCAGTTTTGCCTCAAATATTTTTTTCTCATTGTATTCAACCAAAGGCACCAACCCTTCCTTGCTGAAAATCAACATAATTAGACAAATAAGTTTCAAAACAGTCATATAAAAAGACACAACGTGAATGCACCTGCAAACCCAATGATCCAACCAAGGATTGCGACAATGTCACAGTATTTAATGAAATAAGCGAGCATTTGGTGAAGAATGAATAGATACAAAAAAATCATCATCTGCTTGTTTTTTGTTTACTTGGAACGAAAGATGAAACCGCAAATGGGATGAATAATCCCTCTAGTACAAAATAATTCAATCCACTGAATATGGGAGGGTTTATAGGATTGGATGATCAGTATTCCCATTTTTTCTCTGTTCTTGCAAAAAGGTGCAAAAAAAATTGACTTAAACAAATATAAAGACAATATGGGATAAAATAAAAAAGCACAGCAAGCAAGACACATTAAATAAACACAACAACAAGTTTAAATACAATTAACGTGACACATTTAGTATGCATACCAAATTCATGTTAGAATTGACCCTTTATAATTTATGGGCAATGCATACCTGGATTGCCAGGCCCAGCTTTAAGTTTGGCATTGTTTAAACCTGTGTCTTGTTTGTTTCCTAGGTTGTTGGTAATCTGTTGATGGATCTTTGTTATCATAACCATGGTTGATTTTGTTTCAACAGTCAATAGTAGTTTCTTATTTTCTGTGGACTCCATATTTTGAGTAAATTATAAATCCTAAATCTGTCCAATCTTCTCAAATTTATAGGATTGGAACCAAAAGTAGCAAAAGTTTGCACCCACCTAGAGATTATATTCGTGGTGGAATTCAATGGAAACACAAACAGAAAATTTATTAACCTACCTTGATAATTGTAAAAAGGTACAGGTCACTTTACATGTGAATTGACAAGATATGTGTGATCTCTGGAATAGTTTTAGTCAAAAAAGAATGATAGATCATTAACAGAAAAATTTTGCTAAGATGAAGTGGACATTTGAGGAGCTAAATAGTCTAACCTTTTCTTGCTAATGTTTGTGAAATGCAAAAACAATGGTAAATAGTAGTTTTCAAGTTTTATCTCATACCCTCGGTCAGTAAATTAAGTCACTTATCCTATTGGAAGGTGAACTTCCTGCCCTTGCCCAAGATTAGTTTTGGGTTCTTTGATCCAAGGTTTTACCCATGATACAAACTAGGTTACTTGTACTTGAGTGTATGTGTCCGACACAGGTATGGTTAGATTTTCTAAGTTTTTCCATGTATTTGGAGGATCCTTGGAAGTCATATCCCTAATCCAAGTGCCCTACACAAGTGTCAAACATGGGTACTTCACGAAAAATGAAGAATCAAAACAACATAGGATACAAATTCTAGTACTTCGCATCTATTTCAAGTAGTTCGGGAAGTGAACAGCTTGCATTGGCTACACAATCTAACCATGGAGGTAGAGTGAACCTTAAATGCACACACTACAGACTTGCTCATTCAAACTATGATCCATGCATAGTCATTTAGATCTAGGGACCAACGAGCAGACTTGCTTAGATTGTTTAGAAGAAGACTAGCAGAGTTGGTTTACAAAAATCTTCATGTGTACTACTTCAAATTCTAATATAAATACAAAGGAGATCACCACATTCATACATTCTCCTTTTTACCTGAGAACGCATACCAACACACCCTAACCAAGTCTCATGAAACCTTCAAAAAAAGAAGGGTTCAATTATCTAAGCCAATTATGAATAAGACTCGAGTTACCATTGTTATTTCAAAAACATGCAAATATGTTTTTAACAATAAAACCCATCACGAGTTAAATTATATATTGGCTTTCTTGTTCTTTATGTCTCTAGTTTATTTCAACAACTTTCCTAACTGCTTTAGGCATGGAATCTTAGAAATTGGGACAAGGAGATTTTAGGGAAAAAAATCCTGTCGCTAACCAGAAAACTTACGTAAAATGCTCAGAAAAACCTTCAGCAGATCGCTTTGCAGAAGGGAAGAAGTCCATGAGATTATCCTCCATTTTCCCTCGCTTCAGAATTGAAATTAAATCCTCCAGGCTATTATCCACCAGATACTCCTTGAAGAAATCTGTTATGAATGGAAGAACTAGTCCTTTGCCCACAAGATTGTCCTTGAGTAGGGGGTGGAAGACAGCCTCGGGTGGCAACCCTGACAATTTCTGGGAGAAAGCAAGTGCAGTGAAAATTGCGAGCTTCTTCCTTTCATTTTCCTCAAAAAGCTCCAATGATTGCAAGAATCTTCGCATAACATTTTCGAGATTCTTTATCAAAAAAGGTTTTCGCCGTAAGATTTTCTGTACATAGATCACAGATGGCAAAATGGCTTCGCGATTAGCCTCACACTCTATGATAGAGTATGGGTGTCGCTCCCCCTCATCAGGTTTAATTGTGCCTGGTTGTGTGCGTCCTCCAGTGAAAACAACCTACAATTGCCAATTTAGTTCACTACAAAGCAATATAACTAAATGTCACCAAGAAAAAAGGAAAAGAGCAAGCAATTAGAACCTTACAGATTTGAAGTTCAATATCTGGTCAAACTTCAGCAATATCAGCTTTAATGTTTTTGAAAAGAAAATTTTCTAGCCTATCTTGTGCAGAATTAGTTTACTTGAGATTGTAATGGTAGGTAGGTCAACTGAAGGAGGAAGCCTATAATCAAGTTTAGCAAAAAAGAGTTTTGCCAAGTATTCTTAATACTGTCTCAAAAAGCACCACCAAATTTTACTTGGAAATTGGATCTTTATGTCAAAACTCTAGGCATGTAGAGTAAGTAGATCAAACATTAGCCTCAAAATGTAAACCAAATAACCACCTAGCATGGGTAAGCCACAAAAGTGCGAGAAATTCCATATGTGTTGTTCCAGTAGATCGCCATTTTTAAATGCATTATCTAGATATCCAATGAAATAGCAGAGACCAAGCAAGTATTTACATTTAGAAGGAAATTTTAAATCGTTGATATTTCAGCTTAAATGATGTTTACCTCAAAGAAGGTGTCACCGTATCTCGAGAAGTTAAGATCTGAAGACTCAACGTTCTTGGCAACAAGTTCCTGCACGACACAAGTGTTTAATCAGCAGGTCACAAGATAAAGAACTAGAAGTCTAGAATCACACTTAAGAAGAAACCTAGGTTACAGATACGTAAACTTTGCATTATGATATTTACCAGATCACCAGCATTATCCAAATAGATCTGGACCACTGCATCAGCAAAAGCTGCAGGGTCCAGGGGCGCAGCAATATTCCGTTTGCGGGTCTTAATCCGCGTTCCACTACACACAAGATAAATGGAAATTATGCATGAATTAAAAATAACAAAAAGGAACATCAGAAATACACACTAATAAGGTTCTTCCTTATGTTGTTAGCATATTAGCTTTTCTTCATATTTTTCTTCCCAAAAGGAAATAATGAAAGGTGCAGTTTATTTATTTATTAGTATCAAACATAACACTCGGATGTCTGGCAGAAAGACCAAACATTCCCTACTTGTAAACCAAATAAGAAACTCTGAGAAACAAGAAAAACAGTAAGAAGATCATACCCATATCTTATCAGTTTCAGGTAAACTTGAAGAATGGTACATTTCTAGATAAGTAACGTAAAAAGGTTCATAGACAAGAAACCCAAAATATTTGCAGCGAAAAGGCATGAACTTTGGCATATTACTATGAAAGTTCATTGTACATGGCACGCAATGACTCAAAATGATAAGCATTATAGATACCTCCGTTTTATTTTCTTCTAAAATGTTAAATCCAATACCATTAAGAAATTAGAATAAAAATTAACTTACCCAAGAGTGGGTTTCTCCTTCGAGCTGCAAACCAAAATCAATAGCGCAAACATTGAAATCAATTAGTGAGCAATCAAAAAAAAAAATTGAAAATCTCTAAGATGAAAATTGAACCAAATGTATATGCATGTACAAAGAACATCGCTAAATTATCATACAGATCAATAAAAAAAACGAATCGATTTTGTGCTGCGAATACAACCAAAAAAAAACCCTACAGATCTCTGATCAACGATAAAGTAAAATTAAAGCCAGAGAAAAGGAGAGGGAACCTCATAAACCAAGACGAGGAAAGGATCGGAGGAGACGAAAGTCTCTTTTTTGGGAGATTTTGAGAGGAAAATGAAACAGATACCGATCCAGCCAAAAGACGAGAGAGGGCGAGGATGTTACTCGACAAAGATTTTTATAATTATATATAATATTTATTATTTATTTGTTATTTGTGAAAAAAATTCCTTTAATAAAAAATAAAATAGTGTATATTTGTAAATAAAGTACGAGGAAATAAAACAAACGTAAATTTTTGTATCCATGTATTAACCTTAAGTTTAGCAGGCTCATTATACCGTTTTTTAAGCTAAAAGGCATGTTACATGTGAAACTTTAAATTTGTGGTTAAAATTATAATTTGACCATCCACATAACAAATGCTTGAAAATTTTATGCTCTCCTGTTTACAGGTTGAATTTTTTTTATCAAATAATCATTTTTAAAATATTTCATAAATTATTTAATTAAGTTAAAGTTATAAGTTAGTTCGACACCGATTCAATTAAAAAATTAAAAACAAAATTGATATTAAATCAATAAAGAGAGAACAAATAAAGAAGATAGTTCAAATGATGGACCTAAAACATGAAAAGATTTTTGAAGTCAAATTTAAATTTATAGATAATAGGATTATAATTTAATTTGTCTAATTTTAAAATTGACATAACTTAAAATGTATTTAAATAAAATGTCAAAAGCTTAATATTTCTAGTTATGAAATTGATTGATATCTAAAAAGTATTTAAAATGATTAGGAATATTGAGTTTTGGCAAATGAATATCCCTATTAATGCCAGTTGGAGCTTCAAAAGTATTTTGAAATTGAGGCATGTTTTTTCTCATCTATTTGTTGGCCCGGATAGAGACCTTAAAACGAGACATATTTGGGAGGATATGCTCATTAAGGTTCTAAAGGTCCCATTGTATAATCTGGTTTGGTTTCCAGGGCGTATCCCAAAACACAACATCATTGTGTGGATGGCTATCTTAGATAGACTCCCTACTCGGGTAAGGCTTATGAGAATGGGATTAACTGTAGAAAATGAAAAGTGTATGCTTTGTGGTATTGAGGCTGAGACTAGAGACCATTTGTTCTTTGATTGTGGTTTTGCGAGAGAGTTGTGGGGTGCTGTCCTTATTTTATGTGGTGTAAACCGTAGAGTTAGAAATTGGGGTAGGGAGTTGGCATGGAATGTTCATTGCTTTAAAGGAAAGTCTCTCATTGCGAGAATGTTTAAACTTGATTGGGCTAGTCATGTGTATGACATTTGGAAGGAGATAAATAGCAGGTTGTTTGGGGGCAAAACACGACTGATGGATGACGTGTTGAAGGATGTTAAAGAAGATGTTCAGATTTGACTGAAAGGTTGGACTATCAGCAGAACTGATCCGAGAAATGACTCCCTCTGTGTAAAATGGGGTATCTCTTAAGTTGGGGTGAACTTGTACTATTGTTCTTATGTTGTTTGTGCTGTTTTGCACAGCAAGTGCTAATTTGTTGTTTTATGTAGAAAGTTTTATGTTTTCTTGGGTAATGAAAATGGAATTATAAAAAAAAAAAGAGAGATTGAGGGTTAATTTGCTAAATTTTAGTATTGATATGGGCCTTGGAAATAATTAAATCATTTTGGGGGACAAACACAATCTCTCCCACCTAACGTAATTATATCGCTAAAAATGATTTTTTATAGTTTTATTATAAAATAAGTGTTTAGATTATATATATATATATAGTTGTTTAATTTTTTTATCTGTTTAATATTTTATTTTGTAATCATTTTAAGATCAATTTATTATGTATATTTAAAATATAGTTATTCAAATATGAATTTGATGAGTTCTTTAATCTTGTAATCTGTTTGTTTCTATTTTAAAAAAATGGTTGTCCCTTGTTCCCATATATAATGGGATAAGGGAGGTAAGAGTAGGTTGTCCCCAACACCAGGTTGAGAGCAGCTTTCGTAGAAGACCTCCGAATTATAAAATGCCATTTGTGGGACTCGATCCCACAACCTCAAGATTAAAACCTTGTGCTCTACCAACTAAGCTATATAATCATATCGTTTGTTTATATTTTAGAGTTTTTAAATATAAACAAATCATGATTGATCTTGAGATTTGAAAGTTTAATTTTACTTTCAAATAAAAAAAATTAAAATAGAAGTGTTTGAAACTTGTGCTTTTCGATTTCTAAAAAGGCATTTTCTGTTGAAAATAATAATAATAATGGAAGTGTATAAGTGTGAATGGAAGTCGAATAGAATATGATGGTGATAAATGAGTGGTTTTTTTATTATCTTTATCTATTTTCCCTTTTTTTTTGTGTTGGTTAATAGAAAAATTAAGAGAATAACTTTTAAATTTTTAGGTTTCTTTCTTTTTCTCTAACTTAAGGTTTTTCTCAATATTTTTGTGTTATCTTTTTTTTTCCTTTAATTTTTATTTCTTCGATAATAATACTAATTTTAATATTAATTGTTGATCGTCAATAATTATTATTATTTTTTTATAATATGTCCTTTGTTCTTGAGTTTTTTAAAATAAGAATATATATCATTGTGATATATTTTCTCTATTTTTTTTGTGGCACGCTTTTTTCTATTCTTATAGCACGTTCATTATGATTTTTGATACGTTTTTTTGCATACACATCTGTGGTCGTGTTGGTGCTCATACAAAGATCCTCACGACATTTGTTTTATGATTAGTTTATTAATGATCACATATTGTCAAATCCCCTTCATAAAAAAAGGTTGTTTGTTGATATGATCAACATTGTGTAACAAAACAGTATGTCAAATTATTTGTTCGCTCACCACTCATTTATCACTTCGTAAAGTGTCTCGTTCGACAGAGATAATAAGTTAAATGAAAGTGACTGAATTCTTTTGATGTTGATTGTCGTTCTCAATTGAATGTTTCGTTTTTCTTTGTATCTTTGGATTTAATATTTTTATTTTATGTATGAATTTTTGTGTGACTATTGTCCTTAATTTTTTTCTTTGGGTACGTTGTTATTTTAATTTCTTTCATTATTTTCATTAATGAAATTCAGTTGTCATTGTTAAAAAAATACATAATAAAAAACGGAAATATTGAAAAATTAAAATCTAAAAGAAAGAAATATGGAAGGTGATGCGTCAAGATTTCATTTGATACTTTTTTTAAAATACTTACAAAATATAGGGATTTAAAATAAAAGATATATATAATTTAAAAACTTATTTTACAATTAAGTTTCTGTTCACTAATATGGTAAACCATATAAATGATTGCTCAATTTTTAGTGTGTTAACATTTTAGTCACCTAAAAAATATTTTCAATTTAGGACATTAACATTTTAATCACCAAGCGTTAACTCATTAACGTAACTTACTGTTCACGCCGTTTCCGTCCCCACTATAGTTTATGTTCCATGTTTTGATTAGCAAAACGTTAACTCAATAACAGTTTAGTCAACAAAAAGAATTCTAAATAATTTGCTTTTTATCTATTCTTAGTTTTTTATAATATTTTTTTATCACACATACAATGTGTGGAGAAAGAAAATTATTTAAGTATAAAATATATTTTTAAAATTTATTCAACAATGATAATGCGTAGAGTAGTAAGAGAATTATATATATGAATTCTTAAGTTATGGGTTCAACTTTATTGAATGCTATTCGGTCCTACATGTGCAACTTTAAGTTATATATGATGGGTTGAATGTTGCAGGGGGGATAGAGCATATTTCCTCAATTCGAACGTGACCTAACCCAGATTTTTTTTAGTAGAAACTCAAATTTCACTTGACTAGATATAAATATATAAAAAATTATTTTTATTTGGTAAAATAAGGACTCAATTTAATAAATATAGAAAGAGGTGTATTATAATAATTTTCTCTAAGTTTATAGAAGAAAATTATAGTATTACCCGAGTCGGGTTGAAGATTTTCACCTTAAACTCGAACTCTACTCGACCCGACCTGAACAACCTAACTTAAAAAAATGGCCCTATTAGGTAGAATCAGATTGTCTATTTTGAGTTAAATTGTCATTCTTTGTTATTATAATATTGAAGGCATATATATTTAGCCACTTATATATTACTTCGTTTTATTTTGGTTGCACGACTATTACTTAAATCATATCTTATTTTTATTTTTATTTTGATACACCCACACAATGGCGGATGCACTAAGCCCCCATACTGGTCAAGTGCATCCCATTATTTTGGAAATGTAGTTAAATTTAGTTTAATGTGTTAAGAAAAAAAGAAAAAAATTACAATTTTTGCATACCCAATATTTTTAAGAAAAGAAAATTAAAATTTTGGACCCATTCTTAAATTTCTGAATCCGCCACTGCACGCACATATGACATATTTTTCTTTTTATTTCCACATCGTTAGCAATTTTCATTTTTTAATTGATTTTATTCTACCAACAAGGTTATACTTAATTTAAATTATAAATTTTGGTTTATTCTAGAATTCAAACATGGGATCTTGGTATAAATAACCAACTATTAAGCTAACGAGCTAAGTTAAGAATTGGTTTTTATTCCACCAACATATTTATTTAATTTATATATTATTGTTAAATCAAGATTAAATTATTTTTAACTTTATTTGGAAATAAAAATAATTCAATATTCATCTTTATATTTTTATAAAATTAAAATTAGGTGACAAATAGTTTTATTAGTCGAATTTATAAATTTGGAGTCGAGTTATTAGGCTTTCTATATAAATTTAATTATAAATGTTTATAATATTATAATATTAATTGTAATTTTAAATTCTAAACTCGTATACATTAAATATTAACTTTAATAATTTGAGAATAAAAAGTTAGTTTTTTATAAAAAAAGTTATTGACACAAGATCACGACTCAAACTGATATATTTTATTTTATCTCCTTAAATATTTATTCGCTAACATGAATCCCCTAATGTGTTTTTTCACTAACAATAGTTCCTTAAGTCTAAAATTTTAGTTATAAAAATTTCTAGTTATAAAATAATATTTATCAATTTGATTTTTTATTTGATTCGACTCAATTTACTGTTCATTATATTGATAACTATTGTTTTTATATAAATTACATATATATATATGATTAAAACCATTAATAACCTAATTAAACATATAAATTAATTATAGCATTTTCAATAAAAATAAATAAATTTTATATAATATTTTTAAACTATAAAATGTGGCAAGCATGTCGTACGTTTATCCATTGAAGTGCTTACCTAGTGAAGCTGTTGATCTTTTATTTGGATAAACCTGCGAAAATACGGCCGTTAAGAATCTTGCAAAAGCACGATTGTAAGTTTGTAACAACTTCAATCTTTAGAGAGAAAAAGGAAGACGAAATCAAAGCAAAACTAGGAAACCAGGAAAAAGAAAGAAAGAAGAAAACACAGAAAGGAGTCTTTGTTGAGTGTTTCACAATGAAAAATCAGTCGCTGTGTAGCGGCCTTCCTTATGCTTGTGGTTTGTCTATCTATCTTTCTCCTTATCTATTTTCGATTTTTGTGTGTGAAGAAAATGGAAGACTGAATGTTGAAAATCACGTGGTATATTTAGTTCTAGACTTAATTCTAGCGATTCTATCTGAACCTCACACCTAAATTTGGGGAACCTTTTCTTTTGATCCTTTTGACCTCCCCTTAGATTGTTTCCACAGAGATTATTGGGGGAAAATTGGGGATCTCCTTTTTTTTTTTTTAGAACTTTCACACTCTTTTTTATCTATTATGATTTTCAATTTCCCATTAACTCTTTTCTTTTATCTTTTCTTTTTTGAATTCCCTAAAGCTTCAAAACATCGCTTGATTTCTGGTGAGTTTAATCCAACCTATTTTTTCTTCTTTTCTTCCCCTTTTTTATTAGGTTTTTATTGCTCTCTCGAAAACTGTGGCAAATCCTTATTTTATTTTTGTTTTATTTGTGGTGGGGCATCTCTTTTCTTCAATTTTTTATCAATTTTTTTTTCTATTTATTTTTCCAGAATTTTGAAATGACAAGTAATTTTATTCCTTTGTAAAAGAAAAATAATGAACTGAATTGATTTATGTCTCTGTATTGTTTTCTTATATTTAATTAAATAATTAAATGAATAAATATTTGCTTAGTTTTATATTTGATAGAATTATATTATAGTTTTGATTATTTATTTAATCATTATTTTATTTTAATTCTAATAATAACTTCTCAAGAAGTAAACAAAATATCTGATATGATTCTACTTTTGATGGTATTAATTCATTAACTCTTGTCATTTTTTTTCATATGATATGTTTATTTTTATATTATATAAACTTGTTTGATTTTTATAGAAATTGGGATCATATTCGTACTAGTTTATGTTTATATGTCTAATGTGTTTTTACTATAAATTTTAACCATTTTGTGTATTTATTACACTTTCAAATTAAACTAAATGTAGTTATGAAGGTTACTATCTAATTATTTTTCATATATGTTTTCTTCTAATAAAAGTTTAAAAGAAGATATCACTATGAACCCAGGGACAATAATCACCAACTTTGTGAAATTTAAAATAATGGAACCCATAAATTTTTTCTTGAATTGGTTATTTTGAACGGTTTTCTAGTATTGCCTATTTTTGGCTGTGGTTATTGTGCAAAACTTTATCATTGGCTGGTAGCAGTTTGCTTGTCATATGTTGCAAAGCTTGGATTATTCTGGTTGTTGGGAGAACCTGATTTTGACTGGCTGTTGCTGTTTATTTGTTTTAGCTTTCCAACAAATTTGGTGTTTGTCACATTCTGTATGATTGAGCAGCTAGTTAACATTATGGTTTATGTGACCTTTTTGTGGTTTTGAATCATATAGTTTTTTTTGATCGAGTTGAGCTACTGCCCTTAGTTAACATTGCAATTTTCCTGCTCCAACCTGAGATTTCATTCCTTTATTTGTTCACCACGAGCATTCATTTGACTCACATTATCAAGTTCTGCTTCAGTTGAGTCCATAATCTTCCTATTTTATACTATGAGAACTAAAGTGCAATTTGGTTCTAAAGGAAATGCATTTCACTATATAGCAAAGAAACTGGAATGGTTTAACACTTTCCACATTTGCCTTGAGAAAATTAATTTCAAGGAAGAGTATCCACTGCACCTGTTTTCCTCTTATTATTTTTCCATGAAAGACTGTTGATGATTTCTTATACTTTAAACTTTCTGTAGATCATTAACGTGTTCAGTAGAAGTGAGCTCATTGAATAGCTCTAAAATGTCTTTTTCATCAGCTTCTTAGTTACATATAGTTTGTCCAATCCCTTTATACCCCCATTCCTTGAGTTTTTATGTTTTCTTCGTATATCTATTTTGAGTTGGAATATTAGCTGTATCTGGGTATTTTTCAGAGCTTTTCTTTGAACAAAATTTGTTGATTGTCATATTTCTTTTTGATTTTATAAACAACTGTTCATTCTATAACTTGTCTGGAAAAACTTTGATATGAAATGTAGCTTTTGCGTGGAGTACTCTTCATTAGTTCTTCTTAAGGATGCCCATTTATATGTTTTTTTTATGACTTGGACAGATACAGCAAAAAATACCTTGTGCCCTTCAACAAATCCATCTCGGCAGTGAAAAAGTGTCAGAGGTAGGACAGGCTCACTGGTCAAAAATTTCTTTGCAGCTTAATGGTTCTAGAAGATCATCAGAGGTTAGATACTATGCCAACGTTAAATTATGAAGTTCATAGTCTTTTACATTGTAATTAGCTTGAATAGTTTTTTTCCCTATAACCATCCATAAATTATTCAGGTTTCTGGAATTTCTTCTTTCCATTTGAGGAACATTGACCAGAGGTAATTTTTGGTTGTTAGATATGTATGAATGTATTTGCATGTTCTATAGCTTCAAATTAAATGTGATTCACCAAAAATTGCTTTAGTTGCACTTGGAAACCTAAACTTGATTTAGTTGAAAAGTGGGCAATCAGGCTCAGGAATACCAACATTAAATTATTAAGTTCATAGTCTTTTACATTGTAATTAGCTTGAATAGTTTTTTTCCCCTATAACCATCCATAAATTATTCAGGTTTCTGGAATTTCTTCTTTCCATTTGAGGAACATTGACCAGAGGTAATTTTTGGTTGTTAGATATGTATGAATGTATTTGCATGTTCTATAGCTTCAAATTAAATGTGATTCACCAAAAATTGCTTTAGTTGCACTTGGAAACCTAAACTTGATTTAGTTGAAAAGTGGGCAATCAGGCTCAGGAAAAATGGCATTCTTTATCTTTTTCAAATTCATGGATTTTCTAGATCTTTGTTTTGTTAGAGGATTGGAGTACCTTAACAATTTAGGAAATTAGAAATTATCTGCTTAAACTATTTTTAATATAAAGGTGTATAGAAACTTAACTAGTGTCTAGTATCATTTACTTTCAGTCAACTAAGCCACTGGTGTTGTGGCGAAGGACTTGTGTTGTTATCAAGTCTTCAGTTGACACCTTGTCCCGACGTACCCAAACTCTTCCCCCTATTCAAAGGGGAAAAAAAATTCACCATTCACAATTTATATGGCAAGTAAAGTGAATCCATTCTCCCAAATACCTCTCAGTTTGTTGACATGAAGAGCAAAATGAAGGAAGTGAATGACCCTTTCTCCACAACAAAAAAATAAATAAATAGATATAATTATAAATAAACAGAAGTAAATAGAGGAACCAAAAGTTTTTATTTAATTTTTAATGTATAGAACATTTAGAAGAATTAATTTTCTTCTCTCAAATCACCAGCCAGGGTTTCAAATCGGTCCGCGATTTCGCGGTAGCGCTGCCTTCCGATATACCCGCTACACCCGCGATAGTGCCCGCTACGGCCGCAATAGCGGTAAAAACGAAATGACCGAAAACGCAACCGCAACCGCGATTTGAAACCCTGTCATCAACTAATGCGAATTATGTATTATTCACAAAATCTTGGCAAATAGTTTTCTGAAAATTTCAATTCTCTTTGCACTGAATATATATGTGAATCAAGTTGTGTAAAATATTTATGAAGATTTGCTAGAAATGTTTTGGTCATACTCTTCAAAATTTTCATTCATCCGTCTCTACTAGGGGTGCACTTATGATTCAGTAAATTTGTTTACTTGATATATCATGCTAGATTAACATAATTAAGGGCTTGATCCTGGCATTGGATGTCATTTACATACAAAATCAAAATCTTGTCTTCTTCTCTTTGTAGTAATCTCAAAAATCTATGCGAGTTTACTATATTTGTGCTGACCATGCTTTAATATATTTACTGCTTGAATATAAGCTTTCTGGCATGAATATTCTAATTGTCAATGGAGTCTTAAGACAAGCCTTTGAGCAGTTTGTACATGGTTGGTCTGGGTTAAATGTTTAACGACTTAAAGTCATGTTTGGAACTTGGAATACATTAATGGTAAAGAATGAGTGTTTAGAGTTTCAATTTCTGTTATATTGTGCCTTCTGTTGATGAAACAACTCTGATAATTCCTGATTGGCAACATTTATTGCTGGAAAATAATAATTTATTTTCTTTCTTGCTCATTTTCTGCTGCGCATAACGTCTATATTTTTTATTTGACACTATATTTATTTCATTGTTTGACTGGGTCTTTTTCCTTTAATCTTTTAGGTGTGCCATTGTGACATTCCCTACAGTTGAATCTGATGGGCAGTGGAGAATTGTTGCACTTCCCTTGCAATATTTTGATCACACAAACCATTTCGGATCTAGAAACCAGGTGAATATGAATGACCTGCATTTAGTCTCCTCTGTATCTATCAATTCATTTATGGTTGATGGACGGAAGCCGCAGAAAGGGCCTCAACCTGCGAAGCCATTTAGAGGCAGAAGCTTTTCTGGATCCAATGTCCAACATCAATTTCACAACAAGACCTTTGCCAATGAAGGAACTAAATTTAATGAAGTGTCAAACAATGCTTCCTATCATAGCTCCATCACTTGCAATGATTCCTCTGCTGTTATATCAAAAGAATTTAACGCTACTAATCCACTAGCCATGTTCATCAATCCTTCTGAGGAAGACAAGTCTAAAAAGAGAAATTCACAAAAGAGGGCAAAAATGAAGGGAAAACATAAAAAGAATCAGCTGTGTGATGTTGGCTCCACAGAATCAGAAGTTTATTCTCAGTATACCCGTGGAAGTTCAGCATCTGAAATCTGTGATAATAATGATATAAATGGTGTTATAGAGAAACCATATGCAACTTCACCTGAAGTTTCACCCTCTGATAGCTTGCTTAATGTAATTGATTTTGCAGACAGCAGCAATGATACTGTTACAAGTTCTTGTTCACCAAATATAAGCACACCTGACATCGATGAAGTGGATATATCACAAGTTGTACCCTCTGAAGGTCAGAAGTTCCCTAGGGAGCATCATACAAATAACTATGAAATGGGTAGAGAGGAACAGCAACTTTCCAGATGTCAAGGAAATAAAGAGAGGAAACATCTTTCACATATGGGCTCTCTTGACGATTTAAATCCTAAAGATTTCTCTGTTGTGCATGATTCTCTGGATTCTGTTTCTTCTGGTTTGAACCGTGAAGACGGTACAAATTCTGTTATTCTTCACCCATTTAACAAGAACATCCTTGAAATCTGTCAATCGGAGCTATCAGGTTCTGGTACAAAGAAAGGGTGCTCCTATCATCAAAACACATTATGTAGCACTATACAAACCCAAGATTATATGGAGGAAAGCCAGCATGGACGAATGGTTGCATCAAACAAAAGGGATAAGCAATTTAAATCTGTTCCTGTGAGTTCTGTTACTTTCAGACCTGGAAATATTGGAAACTATTATAGTCGAAGGGGAACTGAAAACAGTCATTCTGTCTGGCAAAGGGTTCAGAAGAAAGCTGTAGAGAAATGCAACACAGAGTTGAAGAAAACAAGGCCCTTCTCCTCAGAGTTTGATGTTTCTTTAAATGGTGCTCCTGTTCTGAAAAGGAATCCTAATGATGTCAATGATAAGAAGTCAAAAAGTAAGGTTCCTAGGAAGTTGAGAAGAAAAGTTGGTCCAGCATCAAAAGAAGAGAAAAACAGTTTATCCTGGAAGGAGTCTCATCCGAACAAGGTAAACTTAAATGCTCATGCAAAGACTTGCGTGCCAAAAAGTGAAATATTAGATGTTTCAAATACTAAGAATGATCATGGATTAACAAAAAATCTTTTAAGGTCTTGTTCTCAGGTTGATTGTCCAAGGGTTGGGACCATGAAATCTGAATTAGTTGACAACTTTCAAGCAGGTCCAAGTGGCATAGAACCATGTGACATTGTCTGTGGGACTGCTTTTGGTTTGAATAATCTGTGCATAGAGAATCAAAACAACATAATGCAAAAATCATTCGTCCCTTTGGATCAGCCAAACTTGCTTGAGGTGCAAAATCCAGTTTATCTCTCTCATCTGATGGTGAATGGTGTTGCTCAAACAGAAAAAGGAATTTCTCTTGCTGAAAATGCTAAGCAAAGCCATAATTCGGGCTCTGTTCTGCAGAAATGGATACCTATTAGGATAAAGGATTGTGGATTGATAACATCTGTTAGATCTGCCAATTTGTCTTTGGAACATACTAATGGGCCAGATGCTGAAGACTGGATTTCCAAAAATACTTTTGAAGAGAATGTTTATCCTTACTCTGAAAATATTTCTTCTCTGAGTTCTGGAACACTGTGTAGGACTGGGAAGGACTCGGGACAAGAAATTAGTTCTCACGAAGGCGGGAACCATATTCGAAAATTGTGGAATCTTAATTCTTGTGTAAATGAAAAAGAAAATGAAAACAAGCATAGTGGGGCTAATTTCTTTATTGATGATGAAACGAAAGAACAAGATTTATCAGCAGCTGCAACTGATTTAAACAAGATAGCAAAGGCATTGAATGATGCCTATAGGGCACAAATGGCATCTGAAGCTGTTCAGATGGTCACTGGGTGTCCCATTGCCGAGTTTGAAAGGCTTCTTCACTTTTGTTCTCCAGTTATTTGTCACTCATACAGTTCAGTAGGCTGTCAAACTTGCTTTCTGGACCAGGTTCCTAGTGCTCTATTGTGTAGACATGAGATACCGAACATCCAACTGGGATGCCTCTGGAAGTGGTATGAGAAACACGGAAGCTATGGATTAGAAATAAGGGCAGAAGATCATAAAAATCCAAAAGAATTGGGTATTGATCAATTTGCATTTCGTGCCTACTTTGTTCCATACTTGTCAGCAGTTCAACTCTTCAGGAACAGTAAAAATAATTCCACACGGAATAACACCAGAATTTCTTCTCCTGCTGTTTCTGAAGATTCTGATACTTGTTCCACTTCAAGAAACTCTGCTACTGTTGGTCACCGTCCGATATTTTCAGTACTTGTTCCACAGCCTTGCGCTGCAGAACCAAGTAATCAGTTGCAAGTAAATGATGTGGTTAGATCAGAACCGTCTGCAGTTTCTCCTGAAGATGCGTTGCCTGTTAAATCGGTTGACCTTACACAGTCTGATTGTCTTGATCTGGCTTTTGAGTACTTTGAATCTGAACAGCCTCAACAAAGACAGGCATTATATGAAAAGTAAGTGTTAATCACGAATCTTGTCATTTTATGCATTAAGTTTCTTCCCCAAGTGGAATCTACTTTCATGCTTCACAGTTTCCTTTCGACCCTTTCCCCTATTCTCCCTTGAGATCTGCTAAGCATGAATGTAATAGTCTGTCATTTTGATTGCATAGATATATATTTTGATGTCAAATACTCAAAACTTTACATCTCCTATCCTTGACCTCTAACATATTTGATGAGTGGAATCGCAATCCTTCTGCACTTGCTTATGAGAGAATGGTAGGCTGAATGCAGTAGAAAAGTTCTTTTAGCCCATAAGTTTTAGGTGTGCGTTTGTTTTATGCCATTGTTGTGCTTCTTCTGGCTGTTTTAATTAAAAGTAAACAAGCATTTAATGGTGGGGCAACAGGTGAAGATGCAGGTTTGGTGAGTTCCATTTTGCTAATAAAGTAACAATTCTCTTTTCAAATACCATATGATTGTGATTCTGTTTGTTTCAGGATACAAGACCTGGTTAGAGATGATCTATCTTCTCTGTGCAAAATGTATGGGGATCCAGTTTATTTGAACTCCATAAATATACATGATTTGCATCCTCAATCATGGTTAGTGATAGAATATGCTTCACTTAACTAAATATGAAACATGTTTTGGTTTTTACATAGCATAAGATGGAAGTTCTGTATCATCTAGATATACCAATATTTCTTGCAATGTTTGCTTCCTTCTATATTTCAGGTATTCTGTTGCTTGGTATCCTATTTACAAAATTCCAGATGGGAATTTCCGTGCAGCCTTTTTGACTTACCATTCACTTGGCCATTTGGTTCGTAGAAGTTCCAAGTTTGATTACCCTAGTGTGGATGCATGTGTAGTATCTCCTGTTGTAGGTCTTCAGAGTTACAATGCTCAGGTACCCACAATTATTCAATTGCTATCATTTTGAATATAAACTTTGATACTTTATATGGCTTTGTGAGGCTCATTTTTTTTTTCTTTGAACAGCCTTTAAGTTGTTCTCTGTGGCCTACTTAACTTTGTTTGGACAAACCTTCCTAACTGAACTTTGATGTGTTTCGAAGTCAAGGAGCTCTATTTTATTTAGCTTACCATGAACATTGACCAATCATTAAGTGGATAGGCAGCCTTACAATTTTGTTAGTTTTACTCCAATGACATAAAGGGTTTTTGGCCCCTTGTTTTAATTTTACTCGCACACATGAAAATCCCAACCTAGAAGAGCCTAAAGAGATAACTATGTAATTCTATGTTTTGAAATTAGCTTCCAAAAGTGTACATTCATTCATATAATATTGTGTAATATCTCATGAAATTATGTCCTAGACTCATTCTATTGTGCAGAGTGTATCTTCTCCCAAATTTTGTCACTGCCTCTTTGGTTAGTTATTAAATTCGGTTTTGCTGCTGCAATTTGCATATGTCGTGCATCTATTTTTAAAGATGATGGATTATTTAATCAGAAATGCACCTCACTTGGACAGGGTGAATGCTGGTTCCAGCCGAGGAACTCTACAACAATGATACTTGTGAAAACCAGGGCTTAAATCCATCCGGATTACTGAAGGAGCGATTAAGGACGCTTGAGGAGACTGCATCTCTTATGGCAAGGGCAGTTGTCACCAAGGGAAATAAGACATCGGTTAACAGGCACCCTGATTACGAGTTCTTTTTCTCAAGGCAGCAATAGTTAATTTCCTGCAACTCAACAAATAACCTCTTTAGGCTTATTCAGTTAATTCAGCAATGTCCAGGTAGAAACTAACCTTAACATAGTGTTCTTTGGTCAGTGGATTTCGGTACAGTTGTTTGTATGTTTTCATTTTGAATGAATGTTAGTCTTCACTTTTTCATATAGGGTGATTGCGTATCTTTTATGCGGACCGCAAAATAATGTATATAAGTTTGTTCAATCAAAGTTGAAAGTTTTCCATTTTATACTTGGTCATTCAAACCCAAATAGAACTAAACAATTCCAAAGTTTGGATAAGAAGATGGTGGGACATCTGGTCCAACAAAAGATTGTGTGCATGGACAGCCACAGGCCATGCTTGACTCTCACACTTCACATTTTTTTGCTTTCATATATTGTTTTCCCTTGTTGAATCAGCAAATTGCGTATAGCCATGGCAGCTGCTTCCCCATGGCCTGTTTAAAGTCAAGCTTCACTTCTTCAACTCCAAGGGCCTTGCTCTCCCTCAAGGGTCTTGCTCTCCCTCAAGGGTCTCTCCACTTAGCTTAGAATCTTGCCTTTTAGTTCCAGGAGGCAATCTTCCTTCACCGAGCCGTTCAATATGAGAAGGAAAGTTCGACACTTAACATATTTCAATCAAGCTATGTTCTTTCCGATTACCAGATCATGACATATCATCGTGTTTTTAAATTTTGCAGCCAACGAACCAAGTGATACAACCCATCAATGGAGATCCATTCATTGGAAGCCTGGAAACCCCTATAACATCGAGCCCCTTGATAGCATGGTACTTGTCCAGTCTTCCGGCATACAGAACAGCGGTGAGCCCGCTTCTTAGAGGTGTCGAAGTAGGGCTGGCTCATGGATTTCTCCTGGTGGGACCGTTCGTGAAAGCAGGCCCTTGAGGAACACACCGGTGGCTGGCGGAGCAGGGAGTCTGGCAGCTGCTGGCCTTGTTTTTATATTGAGCATTTGCCTCACCATGTATGGGATCGCTTCATTTAAGGAAGGAGAGCCATCGACCGCGCCTTCTTTGACATTGACCGGGCGGAAGAAGGAGCCGGATCAGCTGCAAACGGCTGATGGATGGGCTAAGTTCACCGGTGGATTTTTCTTTGGTGGCATTTCGGGTGTCACTCGGGCTTACTTCCTCCTTTATGTCTTGAACCTTCCTTACTACTTCAAGTAGATTTTTCCTTTGAACACCTCTCGTAACCCTTTTCTCTATGTGTAAACACAAATTACATGAAAACTCATGTACATTTGAATATCATCATTAATTATTATTATATCTTATTTCAAACAAATTTGTCTTCATTAATAAGTATATGAGTTAAAATATATTTATATGGTGTAAATTTTTTATACGATTTTTGAATCAGTAGATTATTATGTTTAATGACTAAGATTAGATTCTTAAATTAAAATAATGTTTTCTTATTTTTTATTGTTAATCTCGACCATAACTACAAAATTCATGAAATCAAATAGAAAAACAGAAAAAATAGAGAGAAATCCATTCCAGTTTTAACCATTTCTTAGACACTTAAATATAATCATGTCCCTCGCTAGAGCACAATCCTATTTCACCACAACAACCATAATATGGTTTGTCAAGGACATTTTCGTATTTTCAAGTAGAAGATTGAACAGCTGCCTGTGTTTCAATGGCTTCACATTGTGATGAAGGATCAGATGGGAAAGTGAGGAGGTTTAATTGAGGCGAAAAAAGATAGTCCCAGCTGCCCATGCTCTTGGAGCTGCTTGATGAAGATTCGTCCAATCCTACGTGTGCAACATGCTTTACATCTGTTGGCAACCCTATTTCCATATCATCCTCCGAATCTTCCATCTCTTCCTTGTACACTAAAACACCCCAACAAAAGGTAACAAAACCGATTTCAGACTAAGACGAACGCATGATTTTATATCATCAAATTTTAAGAAGTACGGAATTTGATCATAAGTAGACAATACAAAAAAAAAAACCTAATGTATAAACTATATAAAAATTTGAAATTTTCAGCGGATGCGCCCTTTCGGTCATCCCTGATTTCAGACGTAACATATGCTAGATATGGAATTAGCTTACCAAATAAATGTGAGAAAGTCTTGAAACTCTTGAACAGTTTATGAAACCCAGTTGATACGTCAGGCTTCATGGATAAACTTTCTTTATATTCTTCTTCTTCTTCTTCTTCTTCTTCTTCTTCATGTCGTGCTCCTACAGATCAAAACCTTGTTAGTTTCCTGTGAGAGAAACCAAACAATAGCAAAGATAATCTTAGAGAAAAAGACTTGTTGCAGAAGCCGAACGGGTATCATCTACAGGCTGCTTTGAATTTGATCTTCTAGGTTGCTGCTGCTGAACAGCAACCGCCACACTTGATTCAGAAACACATCCAAAGGGAAGAGGAACAACTCTTTCCATGATTCTAATCAATGGAAGAAAAACCCAGAAAACCTGTTGTTGAAGGGAGATGCAGCCATTTTTATTTGATTTCTTATATTGGGTAGCTATGACTGCCTTTGTTATCAAGTTACAATAATTCTTACGTATAAAAAAATGCCAAGGTACATTCGAGTTCAGTTTGGTGGAGCAAAACAAGCAGTTTGGAACTACCAAACTTATGATCTGATTATACCAACACGATTATATTTTGAAGTTTAAGGGTATAAATCCAAGCTCAAAATGTAGTGGAACTTATATTTAGGGTCTTAGAACTCAGAATCAAACCCCCAAATTTCTAACTTTCAGTCACTTTCCCTATAAAACTTTTTTAGTGCATTAACTATTTTTTATTTTCCTTTTGTTTACTTAGTTTGGACTCTTCCTTTGGATTAGTGCCTCACAAGCCATCTTCTGTGTTTAAAACACATGCACCAAGCTCTTGGTGCATGGGTACCAAGCGGTGTGTTTTCCTTGGAGTTTAAAGAAGGATAAAATGATTGATGCAGGGAAGGAAATAGGATTGAGTTACGAGGGGATAAGTTATTTAATTTTAAAATAAATAAGTCTTAAAAAGTAATTAAATCATAAAAATTAAGAGATTAGAGGTTTAATTTTATTAATTTTAAAATTCAAAAGTCCTAAAAGGTAATAAAATCAGATAAATTTGGAGTCAAGACTTAATTCCATTAATTTTAAAACCGATAATATCCCAAAACAATTATACCAAAAAATTTTGGGAAGAACAAGGACTTAATTGCAAAATTTTCGAAATTTTTAATGGCCTAAAATATAATTAGACTATAAATGTTAGTTGGCAATTACCTCTCTTACTTATAAGGTGGATCCGTCCTTGAAATAAAATATCGTAAATTAAAAAGAAACATATATTAATTTATTGATAATTTTATTTCAGTTTTACACATTAATAATACAATGATTACATTTGGGGTTTATTCTCGTACATATGTTAGTAATCACTGTGATTACTTTCAATCAAAACCTAAACGTAAAAAATTGGCCGAGAAAGCCTTTTTTTTTACGTAAATTGCAATTTTTTAAAAGGTAAATTATATAAAGGGATACTTCTGTTTGAGTGATTTTTATTTTATTTTACTGAAGTTAATAAATTAATTATTAACATTATATATTACTACAATAACATGATACTGATGTGATGCGTTAAATTAATTGATCTAACATTGTTTGATTGATCGTTGAATTCTTTTTTCTTATTTTATTTTTTCATCAACTTCTATTTTGTTTTCTCTGCTAATAAGATAGATATGAGGAAGCTCGGAAGATGACTATGATGAGGATGCATACTAGAGATTTTTGAGCCATGGGATAACATAACTCCCATCAGCTTTGGGATTAACCACATACGAAGACGAATGGGGCTTGGGAAGGATGATGACATGGGGCTTGGGTTGTAAGAAGCACAAGGGCTTGGGTTGGGTGATAAGATGAACGGGGGGCTAATATAATATATTTTTATTTAACATGTTTTATTAATAAAATAATAAATATTTAATTATATTTTATGTTTTATTAATAAAAATATTAAATTAATTGTTCAAAATAATAGTATATATTTTCGTTTTATAAGGACTTATTTTTTTATTTTGTAGTTAGAGTTCGACAATTTTTGAGACGTTCTGCGAGCATGCTTTCCTCCCACCACAGCCAATGATGTACAGACGGTGTGTCCTAATGTGGCTCCTACTGCTACTCCCGCTGCATTTTTATGCGTTGCCAGCTGCACCATTTGCCGACGTCTCATAGTTGGGTGTACAGGCATTTGAATGCATATAAATTAGCACACCCGACACCTAGAAACCAAGGCTGAGTCTTGCATTGTAAGTTGGTTAGAGAAACGATGGCTCAAAATATCCAGTTATCCACAAACTTCAAGACAGTCTGTTGCATATCGACCATGAAAATTCATAATAGTTCAAGTCTGTAAATGAAAAGAAAAATAAACAAAAATTTGAATCCAGGCCAAATGTAGTAGTTGCAGACTTGCAGATGAAAGTCTTACAAGCATGTATGGAATTTTTGTCATCAATCATTGTACACTCACTGTTAATGGTGATTAACCATCAATAATATGTATACTGTTAGGTCATCTCACTGTTAACGGTGAATTCAACTGGAATACAACTCTTCAGATTAATATATATTATCATTTAAGGTCCTTCCACTCTGAACTAATTAGTTAATTTAAAATAATTGTTTACATAATTAAATAATTATTCAAAATAATGAAATTGATCTACTTGTATTCATTACTTTAAAAATAATAAAAGTTTTTTGAATAACAATGAATAAAAGCTAAATTAATCTTTTTGTTTAAAATAAGCTTGGTAAACAAATCTTAGGGGTTTAAAGTAATTTTCCCATAATCTTAGAAGATAAAGGAAGGAACCCACACTCCCACATAACCAATGGGTTTTCAGTTTCACTGCCTCCTAAACCCGATCTCTCTTTCTCTCTCTTCCTTTTTTTCTTGCTTTCACTCCAGCTAAATCCCATTTAAGTTACAGTCAATTTAGCTGTTCAAAAAGACGGTTCTTTTTTCATTTATGATTTCACTCTACTAAAACCCTTTACACATTCTTATACATCAAAATTTCCATTTCCCCCCCCCCCCTTTAATTCTGCTCAGCAGATCACAGAAACAAGAACCCACTTGAAGAAACATGAAATCTGCTCATGGGGTCACTCTTCTTCTCCTGTATCTGATCTTTTCAGCTCACGTCTTCAATTACAGTGAATCTACCCAAGTAAGTAAAAAAAACAACCTTTGCTTTGAATTCCATAGACCCCTTTGCTTTTTCGTATCCAAGATTTGAATTTTTTGCCTATTTTCTATGGATTTAAAGTTGGTCTCTTGATTTTCAGGTAAATGGGTCTTCGGAAATGTTCCCATTGGTGGACAATAAGACGGTGGAGATGATGACGATGATGATGTTCAATGAAAGCAGAAGAAGGCTAGGGAGTTTCCAGATATGTGCTGCTTGCACATGCTGTGGTGGGGCTAAAGGTGTTTGCCTTCCCTCCCCTTGTTGCTATGCCATCAATTGCAACATTCCAAATAGACCTTTTGGTTTCTGCTCTTTTACTCCCAAGACCTGCAATTGCCTTGGATGCCATATCTAGTTTTCAAGCTTTTATTATGCCTAAATTTCCTAATTTTGGTTTATTTTAACTGAGGAGTAAAAAAAAAGGGGGAAAAAGATTCTTGCTTGTGTTGGGAGTGTGAGGATGAGAATATCTGTTCTTTTTTCACCATTGTTTAATAATTTTATTGGGAGGTTGCTGTTTCCAGGTTAGTTCTTTTGTCTATAATTTTTGTTTCTTCAAGGAAGTAGCATTGCCTGGAAATAGTCATATGCTAAGGAACAATTTCCCTTGTTTAGCCATGACAAAGATTCAAGATATCTATTATTTTACTATTGTTGTTGTTTACGTTTGTTTAATATAATTCGTATGCTTAATGTATTACTAAGATGCGTTAGGCTGAATCCAACTTGGAACAATGCAAGGAACTCTTATTTTAATATCAAATTGCTTTTGGATAGTGTTTTGTTTATTTTAATCCTCTTTTTATATATATTGTGCTAATGTTGCCGCTGCTTCAATTATGCTTCACACTGGATCTTGCACAGTATCTTAAACCATAGTAGTTTTATAAACAAATACCCTAGCTGATGATGGTGTTTAAGAGGAAGCAAATTGATGGAACTTAGTAGTTTGGCTTCTTGTGATGAGATTTGTGTCGATGCAGTGATGGATCGAGAGGTTGACGAGATAATTTGTTTTCATCCTCTTAAAATTTTATAAATTTATTTCCTTTAATATAAAATCTTGTACCTGTTTCTGTGTTGATGGATTTTCCATAAGTTTATGAAGTGTCATCTGTTGGATAGTCGGTCGAATCTCTACACGTAGAATTGACTATTCGACAAAGTACGCTTTAGAAACTTTTCCTAAAGAAGTTGGAAGATCCTCAACAATGTGAAATGCCTTAAAAGATGATGAAGATATGTATGTAGAAGTGCCTTAAAAATATAGGGTGGGTGGGAGTTGGGTAAAGACCTTTAAGCTTGATTTCCACTTGGTCATATAAGTTATCGTTGTTGGGGGGATGAGAGGCGGGAGCAGCAGGGTTTTAGACTTTAGAGGCACATAAAATTTGTACGTGATTTTATTGAGAAAAGTGTATAAGGAATCTCATTGACCTTATCATCATGATGATGGCAATATGAAACAGCCCATGTGCTCCTAAAAAATTGTTAGGACCATTTAGTATGTGGAATGCAAAATTAGTTATTTCTACATTTTTATTTTTAATATTTTTATTCACTTTACTTAAATCAAATTAAATAATAATAGAATTTAACGAATCAAATATTTTAACTCTTTAGTATATTTTGAAGTAACATTTCTATAGTATAAGTTGACAAAAATTAACATTTTGTGTAATACATTTTAAATCAGAATATTACTTTTATCAAAATTTTATATTTCGGTTAAATGAATTGAATATGATAATATAATATGTTTAATAGTATATTAAATAATATTATATTAAATAATTTTATTATTAAAAATAACATTACATTCAACGAATGAAACGTGACTCAATTCTTAAATGTGTATATTTATATAGATCGCGACTCTCAAATCCCATTTGGCTTCCTATGCTTACTTATTTTTTGGTAAACTACACTAGTAGTCAATAAACTTTTAGGATGCTTTCATTGTGGTCAATAAATTCCTAAAATTTGCATTACAATCATTAAATTTTTAATTCGCTTTCATTACAATCATTTTCGTTAATAAATGATGACATTGTAGGTTAAAGTAATCTTACCCAAAAACCTCCTTTAATTTTTTAATAATTGCCATTGCAAAGGTCGATTTTTTGAATGAACAAAGCGGTAGTCGGTCAATCTCAATGATGGAAAGGTTCTGTATGGTCAGAATATTAACATAATTCTGTTTCAAGTTGATTTAACGATTAATACTGACATGCCAATTAGTTTTTAGTTTCTATTAGATCATCACCTTAGTTTCTCGTTACTTGTTCACCGTTCAGTGATTTCTCTGATATAAACTATTACCAAACTATTCTTCTTCTCTTTTTTTATTTTAAATTTAAACTCTTTAGAAAACCTTTCAATCTCCTCGAATATTAATTGAAAATTAAAGCTAAAACTTTCTAATCCACCACTATCAATTGTTGGATCACCTTAAAACTAAATTATATTAATCTTTTAATCAAACGAAATATTTCCACCGATTAACCCCTGTTCATCAAAGATCATCCTTTATGTTGATTGTCAATTTAGAAAACTAAAGTTTTTTTAGAAGAAGACTTTATTGTGCAACATTTCTTAAAGGCACCTAAGGACAATGACAGAATGAAAATAAATTAAAAGTTTAATGATTATAATGTAAGTTTTAAAAGATTGGTAACTAAAGTGAAATGATTCTGAAGGTATAGTTACTACCAATATAATTTACCCATCTTCTATTCAACTATGATAGTAAACGATTACTTTATGAAGGGAAATCTTCAATGTCTTGTGCCGACATTACTTTCGGCTCATTACTCTGTTTTTCACTCTCCCATTTCTCAAATTGGTAGGGCCATATCCCCAACCTATGTTTCAACAGCAATTCGGTCTCTTAAAAGTTAACCCATTCAAGGAGATTGTTATTAATTAAAGGTAAGTTATCAAGTTGTCTGAGTGAATATTATTTTTTTTAAATTTTAATTTAAGCAATTGTGTTTATAAGATATATGTGTATTATTTATAACTTAAGAAAATTTTAAATACATATTATTTTATAATCACAAAGACTATTAAAAAAATTAAAATTTATTATTTTTTTCAAAAAGATTAAGTTTCGGTGTTTTGGGGATTGAAGCAAAACCGAAAGCAAATATGCAAAATGTACACAATATCTGAATGAAGATGATTAATGTCCTTGGAAACATGCAAATTCTTTGTTTTTGATTTCTCCCCAACATCCATAATTGGTGTTCATGTCAATTGGGCTTTCCGAAAATCTGATTAAGAACTCATGACAGCATGTAACAATTGAGAGGTAATTTTGAACAAAAGTTAAATTGATGGTACTTTTTTTCACAGATCATTTTCGTTCCTTTTCTTTTAAAAAATCATGTACCTTTTTTTCCTTCTTATTGTAACTTCATTCTATCATATACTTATATAATTGTCTATTAGGTTTTATGTAATTATATTGCAATTTTATGATGGAAATTGTCAACTTTAATTGATAATTATAATAACTTTTAAGGTTAACTACCTGTATAATCGTTAAATTTTATGGATAATTTTATTTTAATCACTGAACTAATATTTTTATTAATCAAGTCATTTAATGTTTTAAATCAATTAAACCATCTGTCGTTAACCTTTGGTGATAATATTAACGTGATGGTTAAATAAAATTATATATACAAGTTTGATCCTTATTATTTATATATTTATTAATTTGATATTAATTCAATAAATTTAATCAGGTTAAACTATATCTAAATGTTATTAATCTTAATTAGATTTGATCCCCTAATCTCAGTAGTTAAGCACTCTTTTACCCTTGTTCGAGGCCTTGGATCGGACGAGCCCGGATGATCCAGGATATCATCAGACAAGGCTGTTGATTTGGCTTCCCAGCTTCAACACGCCGCCTTCCTTGAAGATTTTCAATTCGATACTCGACTCTCCTGTTAAGGAGGATATATATTTGGCTAGGCTCTTTTACAGGAAGAAAAAATGATGCCGAGTGGTGTTCAAGCTGATGTTTATACTTTTGGGATGATGATAATGTCTTTGCTTGACTAATAGAATTGCTGATGCTTTTAAGCTTCTGCAACTCATCATGTACAGCACTGTAAAGCCAAATGCTGTGGTGTATAACACTTTGATCCATGCTCTATGTAACAATGGAAAAAGTTGGGATTGGGAGAGCTAGAAGCTTGATGAATGATTTGGATGACCCCAATGTCTGATAGAAAGTTGCAAGCAATTTATTACAACGAAGGGGGAAACCAGGTCCCTGAAGCTTGAAGAAAAAACTAAAAATGAAGATGGCAGAGACGGATATTAAAGTAGTTTACAGGACAATAACAATTTGAGGCTTGTCATGTTCTTGAGAAGGAGAAGCTATTCACCGTCACCCCTCCATCAACACAAATAATCTGTCCTGTTATGAACGACGCTGCCGGTAGACATAGGTATGCCACCAAGGACGCCACCTCTTTCGGCTCTCCCGTCCGCCCCAAAGGTGTTCGTGACACCATAGCTTTCGCCAAATCTTCTTCTTTGAATGCCTGTAAGCACTGGTTATTAGTGTCTAATGATGTCGTCTACAAATAATGTTAGAAATAATATTACTGCAAAATGAAATGTTAGCTCTGATCAGAAAATAAATAAATAAAACTACCAAGACTTAATCATGTTGGAGAAGAATCACTACTCATTGTTGGAAATAACGGGACTACAAAATCACACCGTTAGCACTGATTGAACAAAATAACTAAAAACAAATAATTGAACGACTAAAAACCGTGTATTAGCAAAACCACTTCTTTATAAACAAATTCGTCTTGATGTATGTAATCTCTATAAAAAACGGATCGAGGTTAGCACGGTCGCTCCGAGATTTCGTACACCCGAAATCGGAGTGAACTGCTGGCGATATTGCTCTTCTTCACCATAAACAGAGAATGCTTAGAAAGCTTTGAGAGAGGAGATGTGAATGTTGAGAATGAGTTGAAAAGCTAACAAAGCATTACCAACACTTTAAATATCCAATAAGGGAAGAATGTATACTATAAATATTAGAGAAGATTTCTCATTCAAACTTGATACCTATTAAAGAATAATCTAAATTTTCTCAAAAAAATTATACGTATCCTGCAGTAATTATCACAAACCACGAACACGGAGACAGATACAAATTAAAAGATTGTATGTTACCGCTTCAGTGAGAGGGGTATTGATGAAACCGGGCGCCACCGAGTTGGTTCTTATATTATCTTTTGCCCATTCACATGCTAAACTCTTTGTAAGTTGGTTCACTGCACCTGTTATTCCCAATAGCAGAAAACAAAACATCACGACATGTCTTCGCATGATCAATTATCAAAGTTTTTTAACCACAAAATAAAAAAGAAGATTTAACTAGAAGTTAACCTTTGGCCGCACTATACAAGGATCCACCTATATTTACCGACTCAACACCAGCAATCGAAGAGATGAACACAATGTTTCCAGCCTCCGAAGCCTTCAAAAGAGAGGATATGAAAGTTGGCAAAGATGATAAGCAGCTTCGAAGTTTGTAGACATTAGAGTTGAGAAATCTTGGGCACTGAATTCCACCGTTTGCTTCCATGAATTTACTCCCACGTTGTTTATCTTCACACATAATTCCATCCTGTAAAATGGGTTTTTTCTTGGAATCGAGGAAATTGATGTAGTTGGAGTACTTACGAGAATGTCGAGTTTGTGATTGAAAAGAGAGGAGATTGTATTCACTAGCTTTTCTCGTTCATCTCGGGATGATACATCACAGGCGGTGCCGGTGATATCGAAACCCTTTTTCTTCCATTCGCTTAAACGTTGATTAAGCTGTGTTCCATTTCGTGAGCATATATGGATTCTAGCCCCGAACGTTGCCAGTTCCTCTACTATGGCATACCTGATCGAATCCATCATTTAACCAAAGAATTCAAACAATATGTACTACTGTTGAAATTTACCATCTGTTTTGGAGAAGAAAGAAAAATAACATAATGAAAACAAGGGAAGAAGAAGAAGAAGAAGAAGAAACCCGATTCCTTTCGTTCCGCCGGTAACAAGAGCAGTTTTGCCTTTGAGAGACCATCGGCTACACTCGTTCTTCTTGCTGCTCTCCGTCTCTGCCATTTCTTTCTGTCTTTTTGGTTACAATGATAAGGTCTAGAACCTTCATTACAACAAATTATCCAGTGGAAATTAAATAAAGAAGATGACTACATGATAGAGAAATATAAAAATATAATCGCCAATATATACAAGAAGCAAACCCAATCACCCAAAAGATAACGACACGACATGATAGAGATACATATAAAAAAAAAATTATTCACTACCTTGTTCACCTGCTCAAAGTTTGACATTTCACATATCAACTCAATAAATCCATAACTGAATCTCCTTGCAGCAAATCCGATACACACCATAAAAACATTTATGTATACTTAGTGATAGATTGGGTTACAAATTTATTATTTGACCAAAGTGAAATGAATTCAAATATTCATAGATATTTATAAAATAAAAGTTTAATTTTAAAAAATAAATATTTAATCTATATATATATATATTTTTAGATGTTTAATTTTTTTTATCAAAGTAGATGTTACCTTTTTTAAATTATCATAAAATTATAATCTAAGGTGTTTCAAATTTTATTCCGTTATTATTTTAAGAATTCTGTCAACTCGATAAAAAATCTGTCAACTAATTATCGGTGGACACATGACATTAATTTTTTAAAAGTAAAAAACATTAAATTTTTAGAAAATCTTTTCTCTTTAATTTCTCAAAATTTCCAAATCCTCTAAGGTGGCGTTTGGTTAGCAAGAATCCCTTTGAATTAGGGGGATTTGGAATCCAATTCCACCACTTTCTCATGTTTGATTCAAGTTTTCAAAGGGAATTGAAATCCCTCATGACTTCAACTTTCCATCAAACGAGGGAAAGTGAATTTCATCCATTCTATGATGGAATTCAATTCCCTTGTTGGAGGGATTTAAAATTTGACCATACTACCCTCATCAATCTTTTGGTAACTTATTCATATATTGAATAAAAATATTTTTTTATTATTTCAGGTCGGTCGGGTCGGGTTTCTAATTCATATATTCGGGTCGGGTGAAACTTTATTTTAGTCGGGTCGGTTTTTTTAAGTGTGATATTTGGGTCGGGTCGAGTTCGGGTTTAGGGTGAAAAATACCCGACCCGACCCGAAAATATATATAATTGTACCTTATATATTTAGGAATAATTACAATAATACCCCTCTCTATATAATTTTTTTTCAATTAAGTCACTGTATTTATTGAATAAAAATATTTTTTATTATTTCGGGTCGGGTCGAGTTTCTAATTCATATATTTGAGTCGGGTCGGGTGAAACTTTATTTTGGTCGGGTCGGGTTCGGGTTTAGGGCGAAAATACCTGACCCGACCCAAAAAATATATAATTTTATCTTATATATTTAGGAATAATTACAATAATACCCCTCTATACATACATATATATATATATATATATTTAGTTAAGTCACTATTTTTATTGAATAAAATTAATTTTTTAATTATTTCGGGTCGGGTCGGGTTTCTAATTCATATATTCGGGTCGGGTCGTATGAAACTTTATTTTGGCCGGGTCGGGTCTCGGATGGAGGTTCCCTTGTTCTCATGTCGGGTCGGGTGGACCAAAAACCCGACCAATGACCATCCCTAATTGGGATGATTTTAACTTATTATGTTTATTAGCATGATTTTTATAATTTATTGAAATGAATAATCAATCAATAAAATTAAAAATTAAAATTTAATATTTTTAAAATTTTTATAATAAATTGCTAAATGTAATTTATAAAACAAACTAAAATTAAGCAAAAAAACAAGAAGGGCAATCCTGTCATTTTACATTACTGAAATCAAATTCATCTAACATGACTGCGAACCAAACATAATATGGAATTGGATTCCAATTCCTGACAAATTCTAATTCCTTCACAAATTTCAATTACTTCATAGATTTCAATTCCCTCAGAAACATTCCAGCGAACCAAACGTCACTTCTTTTAAGGCATATAGCCATATATTGACAATAAGGGGCAATAGATAGATGATAACACCTAAAATAAAAAATTTAAAACTTTAAACACCAAGTAACTAAAAAATATAATGCGATCACATATTTTTTTAATTAAACTTGAAAGGTACTTGTATTTGTTACGAAAATTAAAGTAGGACGATAACGTTATAATGAAAATCATAGAAAACAGGGTAAAAAATAGAAATGAGTGAAGTTAAGGGACAATACCTCCATACACCCTTTAGATTTAACTGCTATCATAATCGTAAACTAACATAATAAGGATATTTTATTATAATTATTAACACAAGAAACTAATCACTTAAGATCACAAGACGACTATACAAAGAAAATGTAAAAAAAACTTAATCAAATACTCTAACAAAAAATAAATACGAAAAAATATGATCGTATCAGTAAACGAATCACAAAAGAGGATCAAACTATTGAAGACTATCAACAAATCACAAATTAAAGTCGAACGACATGTGAAATCTATTTACAAATGCAAATCGCATATCTAAATTCTATCTAAGAAACCAAAGCAGGGAAGATCAACATGATAACAAATAAGCATCATTTTGATCAGTCATGATAATGTTAAATCCAACCCTAAAAAAGATAACAAAAAACAATGATCAAAATAACCTAAAAGTTATTTTAGAAATGCAGAAGAAAATGTGTCATAAAAGTTAGAAAAAGATGTGTTACAAATGTATAGTTATTAAAAATTAAAAAATAAGAAAAAATTCAACATAATAAAATTAGAAAACAATAAATATCAATAAACTACGACTAACACTAAAATTGGTGTCGCCGCCAATCATAAAGATTTGTTAGATATTATTAACTGTAAAGCTAATTTGTATTAAAAATATTATTATTATTATTATTTGGACGAAGTTTTTTTTTAAACTTCAACGTCTATGCATTTTATTTTCTACTCTGGTTTTAAACGGGACAGGCCCATTACGGTTTGGAGCAGAGCCACACTTACGACGCTGAGGCCCAACTCGTTTCACAGCAGAATCCATTTAAGGCCCATAACATATTGCATGTACTCATTTACTCATGATAGATTATAAATATTTAATACTAATTAATAAAAAAGTGAAAAGGAATAAATAAAGTGAGTGATGTGTTGTCCACTTTACTTTAATTCATCGTTTTAAATGCAAAAAGGTAACAAAATGTTTGTGTAATTTAATTATTATTCCTCCGTAGAATATCAAAATTCTCTCGCATAACATTCCTTTACTTCTTAGCTCAGCTGCAAAACAAGCACTCCCTCTTCTACTGTAAGTCTCTCTTCTCTCCTAACTACACTACTGTTCCCAGTAATCCCTTTGCTTCCATCCAAGAAGAATAAAGGGTTCTAGATTTTTATTCTGCTGCCTTTACTCAGTTTTGGTTCATGGCTTCAAGCTTTTAGCTTTTTCAGAGCACTAGAAAAAGCGGGTTTAGTGTTTTAGCTTTCTGTAAATAGTTCTTACTTTAGTTTCAGTTCGTTCCTCTTATGGAATTAAAATGGAGTGTTCCTGTTTTTCACCCATGGAATCCCTCGAAATTCCCCACACTGCTCTTTCTATTGCTATCTCTGTGGTTTCTGGGCCCTTCTCGGTGTTTTGATCTTGACCCACAAGACAAAGTCTCACTGATACGGTTCAGGTCATCAGTTGATGACCCTGGCCTGAGATTAGCAAGCTGGTCAGGGTCTAACGGCACTAACTGGACCGGTATTTCTTGTGAAAACCAGACCGGTCGGGTTGTTTCTCTGAACCTGGCTAACATGAATTTGTCTGGTGAAGTGCACCCCGCCTTATGTGAAGTTTCACTTCTTGGGTACTTGAATTTGTCTGGTAATAGCTTCAACGGCATAATTCCAACATGTTTTGGCTCTTTGGGTAGTCTTAAAACTCTGGATCTTAGTCACAATAGCTTTGTTGGGTTTGTACCTGATGATATCATGAAGCTGAGGCAATTGAAGGAACTTGTGCTGAATGGAAACCGAGAACTCAGTGGCTTTTTGCCGTCATGGATCGGTAACTTTTCCACTAATCTCGAAAAACTCAATCTCGGCTCCAATTCCTTTCATGGGGAGATGCCTGACAGCTTGTTTCATTTGAAGTCCTTGAAGCACTTGGATCTCGGAGACAATTGTTTATCAGGCAATATTCATGAGTTTCATCAGTCCTTGGAGTTCCTCAATCTTTCTTCGAATCAATTATTCGGTACTTTGCCGTGTTTCGCTGCTTCGACTCGGGAGTCTAACTGTTCTGACATTGGCTAACAATTCACTTGTAGGAGGATACCTACATGTATGCCTCACTGCAATGTTGGCACTCTTATGTGAAGTTTCACTTCTTGGTACTTGAATTTGTCTGGTAATAGCTTCAACGGCATAATTCCAACATGTTTTGGCTCTTTGGGTAGTCTTAAAACTCTGGATCTTAGTCACAATAGCTTTGTTGGGTTTGTACCTGATGATATCATGAAGCTGAGGCAATTGAAGGAACTTGTGCTGAATGGAAACCGAGAACTCAGTGGCTTTTTGCCGTCATGGATCGGTAACTTTTCCACTAATCTCGAAAAACTCAATCTCGGCTCCAATTCCTTTCATGGGGAGATGCCTGACAGCTTGTTTCATTTGAAGTCCTTGAAGCACTTGGATCTCGGAGACAATTGTTTATCAGGCAATATTCATGAGTTTCATCAGTCCTTGGAGTTCCTCAATCTTTCTTCGAATCAATTATTCGGTACTTTGCCGTGTTTCGCTGCTTCGACTCGGAGTCTAACTGTTCTGACATTGGCTAACAATTCACTTGTAGGAGGAATACCTACATGTATTGCCTCACTGCAAGTGTTGGCACATCTTAACCTATCATTCAATCATCTGAGTTATGGTATCTCTCCCAGGCTTGTATTTACAGAAAAATTGCTTGTGCTAGACTTGAGTTTCAATGATTTATCAGGTCCTCTCCCTGGAAAAGTTGCGGAGGCAACTGAGAAATTGGGCCTTGTTCTTCTGGACCTTTCTCACAACCGTTTTTCTGGTAAAATTCCGCTGAAGAACACCGAGTTGAAAAGCTTGCAAGCATTGTTTCTGTCTCATAATCTGCTTACAGGGGCTATTCCAGCAAGGATTGGGAATTTGACTTATCTCCAAGTAATTGATCTCTCACACAACTTCTTGTCTGGTTCGATTCCTTTGGACATTGTTGGGTGTTTTCAGTTACTTGCATTGCTGCTCAATAACAACAATCTTTCCGGTGAAATTCAACCTGAACTCGATGCATTGGATAGCTTGAAGATATTGGATGTAAGCCACAATAAGATTTCTGGTGAAATTCCACTAACCTTGGCAGGGTTGAAGTCACTAGAGGTTGTGGATTTTAGCTTCAACAGCCTGTCGGGAACACTGAACGATGCAATAACGAAATGGTCGAACCTCAAGTATCTCTCCTTAGCTCACAACAAATTCAGTGGGGATTTACCCAGCTGGCTATTCACTTTCGGAGCAATCCAGATGATTGATTTATCTGGGAACAAATTCTCAGGCTTCATACCAGATGGTAACTTCAATATTAGCTTCCACAACAACAGAGGAAGCAGTGATAGATCAGCAGCTAAAGAGCCATTGTGGAATGCTGAGATTAAAATTTCTGCCGTGGTCATTGATAGCACTGAATTAAGCTTCAGCTACATGGTGTCTTCAGCAGTTGCCATCGACTTGTCGGATAATTTGTTGCTCGGTGAGATCCCGGACATTCTCTTCCAAGTAAAAAGGATTGGAGTATCTGAATCTATCTTACAACTCCCTCAACGGTTCAGTTCCTAGGTTGGAGAAAATGTGGAACTTGAAGACATTGGATTTGTCACACAATTTGTTATCTGGCCGGCTCCCAGGAAACATCTCCACCCTTAAAAGTCTTATACTCTTGAATCTATCGTACAACAGTTTTTCCGGATCTGTTCCCGTTAACCAGGGATATCAAAGATTCCCGGGAGCATTGGCTGGTAATCCGGGTTTGTGTACCGGCGAGGGATGTAACAAAGCAGGTCTCCCTGGGAAGACAGCTGAAGAAGTAGAGGGACCGATAGTTGTGTGGGTGTTTTGTGTAAGTGCTTTTGTTAGTTTCTATTTTGGTGTTGTGGGTCTCTTTTGTTCGGCACGAGCAAGGAGTTACATCCTCCACACTAAACTCTAATGCATGCTTTCTTCCATACATTTTATGTATGTATATCTCTGCTTCTTAATGAGATTAAGCTAATGCTTAGCACATCAGAAGGTGTGGTTATGGCATTTGAATGATAGATTATCTTCATTCACTGATATTTAATCCAACTCTTCCATTCACATTCATGAGGCCAACAAGGGATAAATTTGAAGATTTTAGGGTCCAACCTACCAGTGATGACAGTAGGTGGTTGACGACGGAAATATAATTATGGGGTTAAACTAATATTTTGTCTAAAATATTCAACACTAATTGACATTTTATTTAAAGTTTAAAGGTTAAATTAAAAATTAATCATTGTTTATCATGTTATGTCATCAATCGATAATATAAATAATTAGAATACAATTTTTTAAAATTCGGTCATCAAAATTAGATAAAATTGAAATAAAATGTGACTGAAGTTATAATTTATCATTAGCCAGTAAAAATGTTACTGATAAAATCATCATTTCATTAAAAGTTAAAAGGCCGGATTTGATTGTTGATTGCATCAGTCCGAAGCTACAATCATGTTCGTGAAAGGTAGACGCTGGCCAGAGTCGCCGTAGAGGTGGTGGTTGTTGGGGACGAATGGAGTTTGGATTCTATTTATATAGATGCTCAGTCAAAACGAGTGTGTGAATTATATGAAAATGTACAAAATTAAGAAATGGTGCGGTCCACTCAATTCTCCCAAAATTTCGCCGAGAAGTGTAAGGGAAAAACTTAGAATAATTTTGTTTTGATTTGCTGGTTTCCAAACATGGGTCGTCATGATCTCTCCTTGTTTTCTTTGGGTTCCAAAACGGCTTCTCCTTCAATGAAGGGGTTGAAGACTCCGTGCCCGAATTCGCATTCTAAGATTTCTTCAACCCCCACCACCTAGGCGACCTTACACCCCACATCCATCGTTACTCAAAATTAGTTTAGGCGAAATTCTGGGGATTCGGCACTCCTGGTGGCGATTACCATGAATTGTTTCCCTTGCTTCTCATCGCACAAAAGCAAGAAAGAGAACGGCAAAAGGGAACATGACTCTTCCGCTGACGACTTCATTCGATCACGAATGTTAGGTTTGCGCTCCCTTTCCCTTGTTTCATCTGTACACCACTTGATTCCTCGTTCCATGAAAAGCATGTTTTAGGTAGGAATAGACTGTTTTAGGTAGGAATAGATGATTAGAAATCAAATTTAAATACCTCTTTTACATTTGAAAAATAATGAGGCCAATCATGCCATATGCTATAATATCTCATCTCACCTTGATGTTTTGAAAAATTAAATTGAAGTATATTAAAACTTAAAAGTTGAAATTATGAGTCTATGATGTATTTAATTAAAAAAATAACGTAAATTTAACATGAGAAAATAGTTAAGATATATTAAATTGAATTAAAATCAGAATCTGAATTTTGTTAGATATTTTAAATTGAATTATGATATAATTAAGTACGTCATATATGCTAAAATTAGAATCTGAATTTCATTAGATGTGAATTAGTTGGATTAAATCCAAAATTTGCGTTCAGTAGTTTATAGATACATTTAATGATGTAAAAGGAAAACAATACTATTGGGGGGAAATTGTTTAATTTGTTGATTTATGTGTCTCTTGGATTAAGAAGCTAATGAGAAACAAAAAAAACCGATCGAAAAGCGCAGGAATGGAGGCGAATCAGGAAGAGCATGCGAAAATCGCGGCTCAAAAGTTCAGTTTCAGAGAGCTAGCCGCCGCAACCAAGAATTTCCGTCAAGAATGTTTGCTGGGTGAAGGTGGTTTCGGAAGAGTTTACAAGGGAACTCTTCAGTCTAGTGGCCAGGTGCATGCTCTTTCTTTCTTTCTTTTTCCATTTTAAATCATGTAATTTTGACAATAATTAAAATGTTTAGATTTGAATATTAGATTTATTAGACGAGACAAATAGTAGATTAAAAGCTGTTTTGAGAAAATTTTCTGTCTGGATCCAAATCTGAAGATCAAAACTGCATGTAAACAAAAAAAAACATTCATATTTGATTAATAAATTTTCGTTCTTATTTTTCATCTTTCATATCAAACAAGTTCTTACTGTCTAAATATAGAAGGACGTGGGTAGCGATGGTCCGAGAGGGCTGGCGGGGCGGTTTTTATATTTTTTATTGATAATTTGTTTTCGTCTGTAATTTTTTTATATAATTTTTTCTCCTACGATAAAATTTTGATGTGGATGGCATTGTAGTTTAAACTCAAATATTGAAATACTTGGGGCAACCATTGTATCCCCTGAAGATGGCATCCTTAGGCTATTTCTAGAATCAAGACCATATTTTTGGTATTATCAACATGATGCTCTGACAAGAAGGAAAAATAAAAAAACAACACAATTTGATTAAGAAGAAATAAATAGATTGAAATGTTCACTGATTGGTTTTCGGTATTGGAATATTGGAGATACATAGGTGGTTGCTGTAAAACAACTAGACAGGAATCATATGAAAGAATGCAAGGAATTTCTCGTAGAGGTAGCACGATTGAGTCTCTTACGGCATTCAAATCTAGTTAGTCTCATTGGATACTGCGCTGATGGAGATCAGAGGCTTTTGGTTTATGAATTTCTGCCTGGAGGTTCCCTTGAAGATAATCTACTTAGTACTACCATTTTTTCTTCTTCTTTTCTTTGTTTGATTCTCCGGTGAAATTTTAAGAAATGAACCGACACTATTAATACATTTGTTGTTTGTTGTGGTAATTGCAGAATCCAAGGACGATAAGCCAGAAATAGATTGGTTAACCCGAATGAAAATAGCCTATGGGGCAGCCCAAGCTCTAGAGTATTTGCACGACAAGGTTGATCCTCCTATAATATACTGTGATCTAAAGTCCTCAAATGTGTTGTTGGATGAAGAATTCAACCCCAAATTGTCTGATATTGGACTGGACAAGCTCGGGCAATCGGCAGAAAATACGTCGAAGCAGTCAAGGGTGATGGGAACGTATGGGTACAGTGCTCCGGAGTATGCGAGATCAAGTATACTCACAACTGTTGCCGATGTATACAGTTTCGGTGTTGTTCTATTGGAACTTATCACCGGAAGAAGAGCCGTCGACACTACGAAACCCGCAAACCAGCAAAACTTAGTCGCTTGGGTAAGCATACGTATTTATATCGATAGTTACGAATTCCTGTTACGGACACGTTATAATGTATCTTGACAATACTTAATTGTATGTGGAACTGGAACAGGCTCAACCCTTATTCAAGGAACCGAAGAAGTTCCCAGAAATGGCAGATCCCGTACTTAAGAAGCAATTCCCGGAAAGGGGATTGAATCAAGCAGTTGCAATAGCAGCCATGTGCCTACAAGATGAAGCCACTGCCCGTCCTTTGATGGGCGATGTAGTGGCGGCATTGAGCTTTCTTTCAACTGCCTCCGAAGAGAATAACATCCCTCCCGCTCTTCCTCCGTCCATCTCATCTAAGTTGCACTGTATCTCAACCAATCTGAGCCTTGAGTGCGGTGGCGATGCAACAGAGGACAAGCAAATGTGATTGCATGCATGTTCATTGGTTATGCCCAACATAGTGGTGAATAGGTTTCTTGTTTTGGAAAGTGATATAGTTGGGGTCGAAATACGATTGTTGAAACGAAGAATGCTGAGGTTTTTGAACTCGTATCTCCTTTAAAAAACTGATTATATTTCTCATGCACTTGTTATTTAAACCGATTGTGAACATGATGATTTGAAGTGACCAGGAACTGAAAAATTCTTTGGAAGTAATTTTTATACATATTTGGTTGAAAATGATTCTTTAGTATTTTCTAAAACGATTTCTTCTTCTAAAGCTCTTATTTTATAAAGAAATTATTAGAGTTGAACTTGATTCGATTTTTAAAAAAAAAAACTTTGGAAATTAGTTGAAAATAGAATTTGTAACAATCTATATCCGGGTTGGTCGTACACTAGGTTATATTATGATGTCTTTTAATTTGAATACAATATATAATAGGTTCAAATCTAACTCTTAATTATTTAATATTTAACGCTCATACTCCTAGAATTCATGGTGCTCGAACCAAATACTTTAAAGAACAACGATTCCTTGCCATTGAGGTCACTTAGTTCGTGTCACTTTTAAATATTGTTAAATTAAAAGCTTCATAAATCAAAAGTAACAAGAAAGACGAATGCAATATCTTATGCTAAAGAACAAATTTTTAAAAATTTAAGAGGGAGGAAACATTCTAGGAGACGAATACATATTATCAACTAAAAATATAAAAGAAAATATCTAAAATATAGACAAATTTAAATTTTTTAAGAGAACAGTTGCTCCTCCATGCCCCTCAATTCATACATGATAATAAGTACTTGAATGTTGTTCTATCAAATAAATTAATTTGTTTGACTAATAGATTAATTAGAGCTTAATTTCAAAATAGATATCTTATGTATATATTATTTATTTAAGTATTTTAAATATTATTTTTTCATCAAAATGTCTAATTTTTTTTTATCAAAATAGATATTTAAAATATATTAAAATTTTCATTTAAATATATATTTTTATTAATTGAATTTGTTTAATAAAATAAAAAATATAAAACTACAAAAAATCTAAATAAAAAGAAAAGTATTATTTGTAAAAAAAATTGAAATTTTATATTTTTATAATACACAAATTATATTAAAGATATGCAGGGAGTTGATATGGTGGCAGTGTAGAGCAAACACGTGAAAAAACAGAAACTTCATCTCTGCATGCAAATCGACGTGTGAGTATTCTCATCTTCCAACAAGTGTCATTCTCAACACACTGCTAATTTTCCTTGTGTGTGTACGCGTTACATTCATTAACAATGCAATATAAAAAAAAAAAAACTAACGGTGCTGCCTGGCTCCATTTTTTTTTTGCAGCATCCATCAAGGTGTGAAAGCTCAAAGTTAATTTTTATCAAAACTAAAAGGTGATATATTTTGGGTTTTTGTAATGCTCAAATTTGTTTAGTAAGAAGCTAATTTTTCAAGGCTTGTTGAAGTGATTTAGGATGGATGATCCAGAATCAGAATGGGAAATCAAAGAATCATCAACCGATGGAAAACTAAGTTGGGTTCTGAGATTGGGCAGGAATATTTTGGTGACTGGAATTGTTGTATCCTCCAATTATGACTATTTCTGCTATTGGGTTGGTCTGTTCTGTCCCTTATGGTGTCTTGTTGGTAAGCTATGCTTGCACCGAGACCTTAATGAGTAGGTTACTTCCAATGCCTTCCCCACCTCCCCTATTGTTGTTGGAATATGGTAAGCCATTCGATGATGATAACGAGTTGAGCGAGCATAGAATCTAATTTGTTGGGAAGGGAAACGAGGAACTGGATAAATGGGGTACTTTACAAAAGGATGTATGTATGGGAAATGGTGTTGAAAATGATGGAAAGGAATCAGTTGAACAAGTAGATGAAATTGTGGAGGAAATTAGGTATGAGGATGATGATAGGAATGAAAGGCCATCCGAAAGTTTTGAGGAAGTTGAGGAAATAACAGGATTGAATGTAGAGCAACCTATTATAGAGGAGAGTTGAAACGAACAACCAGCAGGTATTGAAGCTGTTGTCGAGGGGGATGATAAGTGTGGCAGTTCCAGAAGGAAACATCACTGGGATCTGAAAATATGGAAGATGAAAAGGAATTAGCAGGAGATATGAGGCAGAGTGTTGAGAAAGTAGGTGCACGGAGAAACGAAGAAAGAAGACTAAGTCGAAAGGTGAGGGAACAACGAAAGGGAAAGGGAAGCACTCCATCAAAGGAAGTGTGAATAAACACCCAGGGGATAAGCAAAAGACTTCTGAACTGAAAAATGTAGATGTTGATGTAAAGAATGATGAATTGGTGAGAAGTTCAAGGGGATCATTAGAAAGAAACATAAAAGAGGGTACAAGCTTAGATGCAGCAGAAGATAAGCAGGGTGGGGAACAAGAACAAGTTGACGCTGAGGTAAAAATATTGAATGGGGATGATGGAACAACGAGAAGGAAACATGACCAACCCATTGTAGATTCAGCTGAACAGCCAGTAGCTGATAAGGTTATAGGTCCTATAGATGGCCTACATGGAAGTGAGGAGGGGATAAGGAAGCACCACTTGATGGTAAAAATGGACCAGTTCATCTAATTGATGTTGAAGAGAATGAGAAGTTAACCAGCGAACAACCAAAAGAGATGGAGGTTTGGGGAACAATTGAAGTTAATGATGAACTATATGTCGATGGAACTCATGGAAGTATGACTGAACAGCCAATAGAGGAGGTCTGTAATATTGCAGTCAAGTTCGAGGGAGATGAAAAGAATGGCAGCAATATGGAGAACAAAACACCGTTTCTTATGAAAAAAGGTAGATGTCCATTTATCACATTCTACTGGTATTGGAGAGGACGAAGAGTTAGTAAAGGAGAATAGGGGATTATTAGAAAAAATCCGGGACGAGGGGAAGAAATCTGAGGAAATGGATGTTGAGAAAAGGGCTCAATCAATGGGTACGGTGGGTGAAATAGTGCTTTATGATAGCATTACTAAGGGGTTTACAGTCAAAAGTGCTACATTGATAAGAGGAGGAAAAGCAGATGTTAACGAATATATTGTAGAACCAAATTATCGATTGAATAAGGAAGGATAAAGGCGTGGTTTTTTCAGATGAAAATGAAACTGGAATCGATGAAGAACAAGCTGTTGACATGTTAGAAAATGCAAGTACAATTAGTCTGCAGGGCTCCCCTCCAGAAGTGAACACTGAAGGTAGCATTTTGCAGTAGTTGCTTCTCCGCTTTATCCTGTTTATTGTTTTGCTATTTTTCGTAAGGTTAATTGTGATTCTCATAATTATAATTGAACGCTCTACATATGCAGAAAATCAGCCTTCATCAGTTTACTCAGTTCACCAAGAAGCTTCTGATTCTTCAGATCTTCCTGTTTCTACGAAAACTGAGGGAGCAGAATCAGCAGATGACATTCGAATTTCTGCTGAAAATCTCATTGATGCCACTTCCAACGAGATTAGGCCAAATATTATTTATGTTGCATATCAATGTAACTGTTAATATGTATGTCAGTCTCATTAAGATCAGGAGCCATGCACCAAATAATTGAAGTATAAGGTCAGAATGTTTTTCCATTGTATTTTTTTTTAAATATTCTTGGTATGATGTGTATGGGAGTCTATATACCTATATGCCTACTTATTTATGTCTTTAAGTTTTTGGAGGCTCTTATAAGCATTTATCAAACTCTGAATATATACAGTTTAGAGAGAAATGTAGACAATTTAGGGTTCATAAAAACATTCAAAGCTATCTTGTGGTGGTTAACGAAGTTGTGTTGAACAGACCCTTAATTGTGAGAGCAATGTGATTTGCTTTATGTATGTTGTTGGATAGGTATTTTGTCCTTAATATCCAGTATTTACACAGAGAGAAAAAGAGAAGAAAATAAGATGTCAAGCTACAAATAATATAATGCTGCAACAAATCCTACATGAATCCTGCCACCGCCTTATTAAATTCGATCTCAGTAGAAAACAAATGCTGCATAATATGTTGCCGGTGGACATTGATCCTCCTCGGTTTCTTCTTTTCATAGGTTCTTACGTTCACACACTTAGGTTCTTACATCAACAGATGTAACGATGGATAGCAAATAATTGGAAACATGTACTTCCGGAATGAGCAACGTAGTAGTCTAAAATCTCTAGGATGTGCATGCAATTGATCAAAACTGGTCTTATTACTTGCCAGAATAGTCATGGTTCGCTTTCAATTTAATTTATGTCCCTTGTCTTGATCTTTTTAAAGCACAGTTTGGACATGAACTGCAGGCAATACAGGGTGAGGAGAAGATTTGGGAACAGATGAATGCTCTGAGAAAAATAGTTGGGTATGAAGCTGCAAGAAAGGAAACATGCGTAGAAGAATTGAAAGCTCTGTATTTGTTCACTGGAATACAGCCCCCGGCATCCTTGAAGGACACTTGTGATCTCGTCGAAGTTGATGTGAAGCTCGGGTTTCTCAAGTCTGTGGTTGGAGTTGAGTAGGAATGAGGTTCATTATGGACTTGCTTTGAGATATTTTGATAGTTTCATTTTCTTTTGGTGATCATTATTGAATGGATTATGTATTGTGTTTTGGGACTATATTGAAGAAGAAAATTTAAGCTTTGCGTTGATCACCTGTTAGGATTTGGTAATTGGGAATTGGGGCTTAATGGATAATTACACTTATAATTCCTCAAATTTTATGCTCTCATAAAAATCTCTTATTCTAAACCCAAAGGGGGCCAATTCTAACCCAAATAAATCAAGAGATCAAATTTTATGATATATTTTGATTCGTTTAGATAAATCATGGGATCAGAGTTCCGCTATTAGGACAGAGCATCGTCCTAAACTTCGAGAAAATCCGAATATCCATTCCCCATCAGAGTTCCTTATCAAACCACCAGCTGCCGTCATTTTATCACTTGACTTTAGCCTTGACCCAACCCGGATGAGGCCTTGGCCACGTTGGAGACATGATGTTAACCCTTGAAAATGAAGCAGTAGAATGGGTTCTGCTAGACAATATTTCATCCACCAGCACACTGATAAATCTTCTCGCTGCACATACTCATGATCAAACAAAACACTGCAACGGTGTTAACTAAAACTATGTTTTTTGTGTGTGAAAAAGACTTAAGAGACATGGCGATTTTTTATTTATAAAAAAGATAATGAGATAAAAATATATCTTTTTTAACTTTCACGTCAGTACTAAAACTGTTCCATCTTCTTATCATTTTGAATTCATCAGTCCAATGTTTTAACTAAACTTAAAACTAAAGTTCAATATTTTTATTGTAGCATTTTAAAGTTTTGTGTTAAAATTGATATAAAACTTAAAGTTTATTGATTAACGTTGTAATTTACTCTAACAGTGAATCCTAAAGAAGGAAGCAACGACGTCGTATTGGGCATTGATTTCTCACATTTATTCGCTTTCCAACACCTAAGCTACTAAAGGTATACCATTTCTCACAGCCAAAAGAAAAGGTTTCGTGAAATTTCCAGCCGAGGGAAGGGAAGAGAAGAGGAGAGAGTTCTCTATTGAAATGGCGGCGGTGAGAGGAGCTCTGCTAAAGCACCTGAGGGTCAACGCTACACCCCTGCCTCTGCTCCGTTACCCCAAAACTACCCCTAACGGGATCTTTAATATTACCTTCAACGCCATACGCCGTTTCTCCGACGAGGTCATGGGCTCATTCCTCGACAAGTCGGAGGTAACCGATCGCGTTGTCTCCGTCGTCAAAAACTTTCAGAAAGTTGATCCTTCCAAGGTCTTTACTTTTTTACTTCACACTTTTTCTTTTTTCCCCCATTGAATTCTTTTGGGTGTAGATTATTTGTGTTTCATATGGTTTGGGAAAATTGAACACTACCCTTGTTAATTAAATTAAATAAATTATAACATTAGGGTATTTATTTAGTTTGCAATGCGCTTCTATTTAAAAAAAAAATGGATAGTGATTTAATTCTGTCTGTGATACTGGAAAATACGGGTTTAGGTTTTGGATTGTTTGGCTTACTTTATGATTGGTCAGGTTAAGGAGTTGCATTTCTCCTAAATCAAACCAACCTTTCAATTATTTGGCTATAAATTTCTCTAATATAATAGCTGATAACTAATATTAATTGTTCTTTTTCTAGCTTTAGTTAAATAAATATCTTCAAATTTATATCTTTAAGAGGGGAAATCAATTTGACCTTTCTGAATTGACAAAGCTGCGCATAAGAAATTGTGGGAAATTTGTGCTTAGTTATTTGGTCTATTATGTGATTTCATATTCATTTGATGTTTATTTCTGTGGCTAGTAGAAAATTGGGGTGCTTGAATGAACCATTCACGGTCAGGTAGGTTATCCAATTTCTTTCAGAAGTGCAGTAAGAGGAAATAGGTCCTTTGTAGGCTGCAGCTGGTTTTGGTTGTGGGTTTGACATCAAATTGAAATAGTAAATTAGCTGTGGCTGCCTTGTTAGTTCAAGTTTTTGTAATATTATTGTTGCCGGGCTCGTGATTGATATAAAAACAAGGATGACTTTTATAAGCATTGGATCAATGTAGTTGCTAGTTACAGTTGTAGAAGAAGTGTGTGATTTTACATGTACTTGGAAGGAAGCTTTTGTTAACATACAAGTGGGTCACAGTCTGTTGGGTATTCTGCTACTTGGAAATTTAAAAGTTCATTGAAAAATAACACTTTACAAAAAATAGGTGTCCAAGTTGGTGAGACAAGAATTTTAGAAGAATTAAGACAAATATTGTAAATGCAAATATTGTTTCATTTCATTTATATGAAGGGAATCTTTTTTATCTTCACAAAACTAAATTATTGTTGAATAAATTATTAATTACTGAATAAATATTAATATTAAAAAAATGAGAACTCCTTCCCTTGTCTACCAGGTTTTTCTGTTATGATTTATTCTAGTTGCATATGCATATTCCTATTTACCCTGTCCCTTTCCTTTTGCTGCCTTGTATACATGGTCAGCGAGAAGGAAGTGGAGCCTTTCGTTTTTTGCTTGATCTATCCAGTAGACAAATGTGTCTTGACCATGTCAGGACATTTTTTTTCCTTCCCCTCTGATGTGTCCCAGCATATCCCTACATATTTAAGCAATATGGTATCGTAAAAGGGGATTTCCCTGTGTCGGTAGTTCGTAGCTTTTTCATTTATGCTTGATGTGCCTTTCTGTGAGAAAACTGTAAAATGCCACAAAACTCTTGCTATATCATCCTTAGTGTTTTCCTTTTCCCTCGCATTTCCTTTGCTCGATATGTTTTGAAATGATAAAAAGTATCATCAAATTAAATTATTACGGGTGCAATTTCTGGTAAGATCTTCTGGCCTATTTGCAAAGACTCGAGTGTTTTGAAATGATAAAAAGTATCATCAAATTAAATTATTACGGGTGTGAATTTCTTCCAAGTGTTCTAATATATTTGAAGGATTCTTGGATAGTACTTTTGTTGTATCCATATCTAGATATGCTGAGGAATGGATATCATTGGATAGTTGTTTCATTCTGATTAGTTTTTCCCATTTTGCAGGTTACCCCAGATGCCCATTTTCAAAAAGATCTCGGGTTAGATAGTTTGGACACTGTGGAAGTTGTGATGGCCCTTGAAGAAGAATTTGGGTTCGAGATACCTGATAATGAGGCAGACAAGATCAGCACAATCAATCAGGCTGTTGAGTTCATTGCTTCTCACCCTCAGGCGAAGTAGATAAGAAAATTATGATATTCTGCTTTTTGTTATTCTTTATTTTCACTTTGTTCACCTGAGACATGAAATCTGAAACTGCATTGGATAATTCCCTAATCACATGGCATTGGCAAATGCTTTTTGTATCCGACTGATTAGTGTTTTTGATATTTACTGCTTTGGACGCTGCTGTTCCAAATCATAAAAATGAAACAATTTGGTGAGAAGTGCTGTTTCTTTTATTTATTTGCTTTGACAGTATTTCATTTTGAAGTAATAAATTTAGATATTTGAGTTACAGCTTCATTCCTATGTCATTGCTTGATTTCTTTCAGGACGAAAGCTGGCTCTGTCATTGCTTCATTAGTTAAGAGTATGCAAGTTCAGTTTCATTAGAATACACAATGTAACCTTTTTAATTTTTAAATGTTTGAATTAACTTATTTTAATGATTGAGACTAAAATTTTTAAATCAAATATAGTTTATTTATTTATTTTTAAAATTCCTTCATTTACTATTAATCTTACTCATCCATTTTCATTCAACAAATTATCTAAAAAAACTATCAATATTTTATCGATGATAATTTTATGTATATCTCTATCAATTTAGTTGTAACTTGACAATTCAAATCTAACATAAAATATTTTTAAAATACATATACATGAACAAATTAAATTTAACGTCTTTAAAAAATATTCGTATAGAACTTAACATTGTGTTTTCCTTTGCTGTCAAGATTAACTACCAGACCACTCTAATGTTAGCTCCTGGGTCAATAATTTCGACGATTGGAATTGGTGTAGGCTGCAAACGATTCTTCAACTTTGGTGATTCGAAAATTGGAGGCAATTCCTCTTCCACGAGTAGAACTTGGCGAAGTTCTTCCTAGATGATGCTGGGAGGATAAACTAAAGTTCACCACGAAATTCGTCTTGTTTTATCTGCCAAAGAGCCAATTAGAGGAGGGATCGAATGGAGTATCGTTTGGAAACTTAAGCTTCCCTGACGGATACATGTGTTCCTTTGGCTGGTGCTTCAGAATCGGCTGTTAACAAATAAAGAAAGATATTAGCCACGTTTTGAGAACCTATAGTAGAGCTAAACAAGTGTGGAACCAACTTATAGACCCGGGTAAACTATATGTATTTTTCTCAACTTATTATTATGGTCAGTTTATTATTTAGGATACGATCCCAAGTAGTACTTATTTTTAATAAAATACAATTGATTCTTTAAAAGCGAAGGAAAATCCCGTTCTTTGTAGCACAAGATTGAAGAGTAAGTTACATAAAAAGTACAAAGCCTGGCAATTAAACTATCCGAGGATCCAAAATATGTCGTCTTTAGCTGAACTTCCCAAAATTCATAGCAATCGATAAAAATGAGATCTCAGATCAAATGCTATTGCTGAACTTCAATGTTAGAGGATTTAAAGCAAAGAAAATGCTGTCAGCCAAAAAAGGACTATAAATGTTCCTAATCAGTGACTGAATTAGTTAAATCTAAAGGATGGAAAGCAAAGCAGATATGTATACATAATTTATGTCCTTCCCTTCCTTTTTATGTATCATTCCATGTGAAAGTTGGGGTTCCATGGCAGACCGCCATACTGCTTGACCTTTGTGCAACGGTGGGAATTGCAGTCGGCACCCAGTTGTTGCATGCCAAGGTCGACAATCCGCTCGGTGTCGACGGTGCTTGCTGCGAAACATAATACAATTTCCTCGAATGGTAATTCGGATCAGCTGATCCATACATGTTGTCATAACCAACAGGTTTCACTTCATTGTCACTGCCACTGGCTACAACCGTGCTCATGGGTATCACATATCCTCCACTGCCACCTGTGTATCCGACTCCTTGATAGCTACCGTTAGGACCGTCGGTGCCAGTAGCACCGTTACTATAGATGATCGAGTTACAGTTCGAACCGGAGCTGTGTTCCATCGAAGAGTCCATGGCCATGAGATTGTGCAAAACAGAAGGCTGAATAAAGTTGTGGGTGCTTCCAAGTTGTAGTTGATGAAGATCCTGGAATGTGTGATTGGCATCGGAATCGGGATCTTGCTTGCACCATACTCGTTGTCCATAAGGATGGTGCATGCTGAAAGGCCGAGCTTGTTGAAATGCAATGGCAGAAGGCCACCCATGGTGTGATGCCGTTGCACCGTAACCATTGATTCCATCAGACAGTTGGGTAACCATCATGTTATCTGCTTGCTCGACGTCTTTCGATCGCATCGCGCTACCACTGATCGGCAACGTGCTGCTTTCGAGTATGCTCTTAACATCATATCTACTCATATCAAAGTTGGTTACAGCATTCAGTCCTCGAAATTTTATGGCTGCAATGTCATAGGCTTCTGCTGCCTCCTCTTGCGTAGCTATATTTAGTACAAGTAATTATTTTCATTTGCCATTCCATAACGTTCAATAAGTTTGAGATTCAAATCTAAATAAACGATACTCACCGAAAGTTCCCAAGTAAAGGTCTTTGTTTCCGGCAACTCTTCCGATTCTTGCTTGCCATCTTCCATGTTGGTGGTGCCTGTTCACAACCCGATCTTTGATTGGTTAAACAGTGAAAAGAACTACAAAATCATTTTTCAGATTCTCATTTTATTGGTATTACCTTGTAACTCCTCTATAGATGGATGCTCCGCGAGAGAATCCACTGCTCTTCCTGCATCAAAGAAACATATAAACAAAACATTTCTGCAATTTCAACATGATCCAACAACAAAATTACGTATGTGTGTATATAATATTACCTTCGAAGGGATGCAACATATTCTTGCCTGGTCATGCTTTTCATCTCTTCCAACTCATTTTCATAGTTGCTAATCTAAAAAAGAAAAGATTTTTTTCATGGTTGCTAATCTAAAATAGAAAAGATTTTACAAGTGTTAACAAACAAACTCCTATGAATTTAGGCAATATTCAAGACAAAAATCTAACTCAATCTCCTGATCTATATTACATGACAAAGTTCCAGTTAACGGGGAATGGGGATGGACTTTAGAAGAACAATAACATCGTGCAGTGCTCAATTTAATGTAATTATAGAAAACTCTCGAAGACTGCATGCCATTGGCAGTAAGAACATGGGGCAAACTTTCAGGAATCTATTTTCCCGAGAGGAGAATGAATCCAAATGTAGAAAGAAGACGAAGAAGGAAAGCAATTAGTGCATTATATATATAATGCTTTTAACAAGTTTGAAGAACAAAACGAAGTGGAAACTTTACAGGAAAATTTGTTGTTGTTGTGGTTCCCCAGTACTTCAGTGCTGCTAAATCATAAGCTCTAGCTGCCTTTTCTTCTTTGTCATACCCTCCTGTATATACAGGCCAAGTTCTTTTAGAAAAAAATAAGTAGTAAAGATAACCCAAGAGAGTAGTTATCGTTTTGCACCTACCCAAATACACTGCAAGTATATCGAGGAAGACCAACAGCAGATCATACGAAATTGAAGAAAATGAAAACAAAAATCAGTAAATTTGTTGAAAAACAAAATAAAATGAAATTACAGTGCCTTTGTGTGTGTATATTTAAGAGGTGCAACAAGTTGAGAAATGAAAACAATATACCTTGCCTTCCTTTCCTTGTTTGTCCTTCCCTTCTGCAACTGTTATCCCACAAATGAGCTTCATATCTACCTGTCCATCTATGCCTGAAAAAACCCAGAAGCAACACTTACATATGTATTAAATATGATAACAAAATGAATTTTTTACACTTTTATGGATGTAAAAAATGATAACCTGGTTACACCACGGTATATGGAAGTTCTTTGGCCAAAAGTGTCAATAGATTTCCTTGGTGTCGCTTCACTTGCGCCGCTTGGGGTAATATCCATACATGTCGGTGCCTTTTGCTTCTTATTATTGTTATTATCAGAGGAAGAGCTCTCGCCACAGCTTCCGCCGCCGGTGCTTTTTGTGGCGAGGAGAGGCAAAGGAGATCCAGTTTGTGAACCGGTGCTCATCGAAAGAGACAAAGATTGCAAAGCGCCGCCGTTGTTTTTGGCTTCGGCTTGAATCGGTGCCGGTTGGTTCCTTAACCAAGTCTTGATCATGGACAACCCGATGGAGCTACTACCGGTGTTGATATTGGTGTTGTTATTGTCATCTTCTCCGTTGCTTGTTCTTGTATTTGTTGTTGTGTCTTGTGATGGGAGCTGTAAAGAACAGTTGGGGAACATGTAATCCCCGGTGGAGGTGGTATACAAGGTACTGCAACCATGGAGATTGTTCTGTTGATGACAGGAGAAAGAGTTGTTTCCGAGGAAGTTTTCAAGCTTTGGTTCTTGGTTTTGGTTATTGCATGAACTACTACCCGTGAACATGGAAAGCTCCGAGCTTGTCTTGTAGTTTCCATCTGAGTTCATACCTAAACCCTTTGTATTCCAATCTGCAAGAAGAAAAACAAAGAATCATTTTTCAAAATAAAATATGATTTAAGAAAAAACAATGAATGGTTAGTGTTTTGGATGTTATTAAGATTAAACAAAAGCAAACTAAACATAACCTTGGGGTTGATTGTTTCTATAGAAGGCTTCAAGTATGCCAAATGGTGGAGGGAGATTGAGAGAAGGAGGCGAGGCGAGATCGAAACACTCGCCGCCGGACACATCGGAGTTGAAGCCGAGGCGAGGGCCTGCGGTTTGAAAGTGATGATCTTGATGATTAACGGATTGTGATGGTAGTTCTTGAGGTGACAAAGAAAATGCCAACCAGTTGTTCATGGAAGCCATAACAAATGAAATGAAAAGCGTGAAATTCTCCTGTTCTTTTTAAGTGCAACAGAATTGGTGAGTGAACAAAAGGAGATGTGGAATTAGCTCATGCATGAAACTAGTACTAGTAGAGACAGAAGTTAGACGAGCATCCTAGGAAAAGTGCAGAAGAAAAAGAAAGAAGAGGAAAGGTTAAAAACATTGAAGAGAATTCATCTCTTCTAAAGTAGAAAAACAAAGAATATTTATAGTGAAACATTTCTCTCTCATTAAATAATAATATTAAATTCATTACTTATGTGTGTATACACGTGTGTACATTCAGATATTTACAGATTATATATACTACTATATAGCATAATATCGGTGTGTATATATGGATTTGAAATAATTGAAGGGGTGGCTTGTTTTGTTCCTCATTTATTTGCAGTGAAACACCTGTAGCAGAAGATGGTATATAAATATATATGTCTGACAAAGTGGGAGAAACCAGCCCCTCTCCACACCCATTTATTCAACCCCATTTGTACACACCTCATTTCTTCCTTGTCAATGAAAACTGCTCCTACCAGGCTACCACTTCCCCCTCACCAACCCTCATTTCATTGCTCCCTCCATTCCAAAACATAGTTAAGAAATAGTATGAATTTTCTTATAAAAAGTTAGTGCAGGTTTGAGAATCTATATTTGATTGATTCTCAGATAGCAAGCAGCAGCAGTGCTGAACTGCCATCAGAGTTTGCCAACAGAACCCCATAATTTTTTCACATTCCATCCATGGGACATGCCATTAATTACTTTACTGTTATTCCCAAACCCCTAATCATCAAACTCAACCTGCTCCCCCGCTGCAAACGGGAGTATCTCTCTCTCTTCTGCACTTCACATAACAATAATTCATGCATGTCTGACATTTTTTTCTGGATTTCCTTTTCTTTTAAAAGCAAATCAAATACTGCAAAAAATGAGAGGAGAATCTGATGTTCATTATTTTAAAAAATAATATATATATATATGGAGAAGGGTTTGCACTTTGCATCCGTATCTCAAGACACTACCCTCGTCTATTGAATTTCATTTTTTTCTCAAAAATCTTATTATTTTTCAGTTTCCAGGTACAGAATGGATGAAATGTAATGTTTCAAAGGATCTAAATGGAAACTCATTCACTTTTTTCAATGCCTCTTGTTATCAACTGTATGATAACTACAAGGCTAGCTTTAACATGCATATATATATACATATCATAATTTTCATTTGCATACAATTATTAATCAATCAAATTGTGATTCACTTGGTATTAAGTTAATTTTCTTTCGTCTTATCATGCATGTCACATGCTAGCTTCAACCTAATTGCAGAAATAATGAACATTGTGAAATATTACACACATATACAAATATATTATTATTATTTTAAATAAATTGATATTATTATAAAATAATATATTAAAAAAATTTAGATATAATTATTTAAATTCGAATATTCTAAAAAATCAGTAAATTTTATATATAAGTATATTATGAGTATATAAACGCAGAGTAAATGATGATGATAATTGTGAAGGGAAGGGGTGTAGACAAAAACAATAAATAAATAGATAAAGTGTTGCAGAAAGGAAGAGAGAGGGGGGATTGATCTCGAAGGGTGGAAAAAAAAAGGAACAACAGTTGTTTGACCGTCAAGAAAGGAATCAAAGGGGGTAAAACACATGGGGCTCAGCTTAATTTTTTGTATTAAATTAATGGAAAAGCCTGCTAATTGCCCCACTGTAAAAATAAATGGTATCGGTAATCCACTCGTTTTAATCATTCATGCTCCCCCACACCCTTTCCTTTGAGCCCTCTTCTTAGACTGAGAATTACCGCTTACCCTTTCTTCTCTCCCTCCTCCCTCTCTCTCTCTCTCTCTCTCTATATATATATATAAAAGAGACTCGATGGCCGCTTACCCTCTCCTATCTCTCTCTTTTTATATATAAAAGAAACTCGATGGCCGCTTACCCTTTCCTCGCTTCCTCATATATATATATATATATAAAATAGACTTGAATAATTAAATAATTTCAATAGTAAAATTATTGCTATTATTTTTTAAAATTTTAAAATTGAGAATAACATATGTAGGAATATATATCTTAGATTCGAACATATATTTATCAGAGTTTATAAATATTTATTATCAAATGATTAAAATTTTATTTAATATATATTATATTATTATACTTCTAAATTAATAAGTGAGAGGGAAAGAGTATCACTTTTGACCTAACTAGCTTGGTCATCTTCTTTGGGTTGGCCAATATTTCTTTTCTTATTTTATGAATAAAAATTACCAATGTTAACACACATGGACATGGGAGTACTTTCACTTGCAATTTGGAGTATAATCAAAATTTAAAAGTAAAAGTACGAACACACAATAACTATGGATTAACATGCTAAGACCCGAACAATGAAAAGGAACTCTATAAAATACATTTTAATTATATTCTTTTTATATAAAAAGATAATAATACAGGGGTTGTTTGAATTTAAAATGAAGTTCGTGACATGTTTAAACTTTGGAGGCATCCAAAGGAAGTGTCCATGAAATGGTATGTATTGATCCCATTAGTGCCACGTATTTATCTAGCTCTGTCAACCCTTATTTTGTTGCCACGTATTTCAAAACTAATATGCTTAAAACGAAGTTTGTGATAGTTTAAAGGCATATGCAGTGAATTAGGGTTTTGGTAATGGTAAAGAGAAGAAGTAACAAAACATAAGGCCGAGAATATATGAGCGCCGCCCAGTGGTGGAGGCAGATGGTCAAAATTAAGGGCATGAGAATAGATCTTTACGTAAATTAAGGGTTGAAAATTAAGGGTAGTGGCCAACCAGGGTGCCCTTAGCTTTGCAAATTTGTCTTTGTTTTGTGAATTAAGAGAGAACAGCGTTGCCCCTACGGATCCTCACTAAATGCCAACCCACCACTGTCTCAATCTCCTTATATAAATAAATTAATAACTTTTTTATTCACCGTAAATCAAAAATCAGGTAGGACAACATTAATTAATCCTGTCTTTGGTCTTTCTTTATCATTAGGTTATTTGTTTTGGAATGCATCCGTGTCCGTCTGCTCGTGCGACACATGCCGTCACTTTATGTATATTCCAATTCAAATTATTTTTTTTTATAATTTTATATGTGGCTGATATTTTAAACTAATGGTTATATTATCATAGATTTTATATTGCAAATACAAAAATGTTTATTATTATATATTCAATAAATTTTAATTATTAATATATTTTGGTACGACAAATATTTTTTTTTGGCATGAGATAAAAGTTCATATGATTACTATATGTATACAGCACATGCTTATTTAAAACGAAAAAATACATAAACAAAACACACGTGCATGGCGAAAAGCTATGAGTTGCATTTCATAATCTAAACATTGCAATTGCGTGAGAGTTTTTTTTAAAGGTGTAGTACAAATTAAAATACATTTTCATTAATTAATACTTAGTTTATAAGGCAGATCTTGACCTAGTCTCATTGTTTTTTTAGAAAGGCCACGGCTAGACATTTATTTTTATGTAAAAAAATATCTTAATGCAACTTTTAATTGTTGAATTTATTATTATATGCTTGTTGTATATAAAGTTTTGAATCGAGTAGTTATATCTATAATATGTGTTTTTTATATATATTTAATAGTTTATGTTATTAGATATTAATTCAAGTTTTAATTATTAATTACATTAACGTTATTATAATTTTAATAATTAAATATTATTTGGTAATTAAGTTTATTTAATAAGTAAATACTTATTTTACGCAAGATATCATATGGAATTAAGTTTATTGGTGATCAAATATTGAACTCTATAAATATGAAATTTGTCTTAACTTTTATAATTATGAGAAAGATTTATTTTGGTGAGATATAATCATTTTATAGTTTTTGTAACTTATGGAGTTTATGTGGTAGAGATAGTTTTGTATGGATATTGGAAAAGTGATTTAGGATACTCCTAGTCTTGGACCTTTTGGTATAGACATAAGGTTTTAGGATACCTGATATATCATGTATTTATTTATACATTCGTTATCTCTACGTTTATAATAGATTATTGTTCATCTAATTCATGGAAGTTGACAAGATTAAATCACGTTAATTCTCAACTCTTGTATATGATTTTTTTACGTTGATATCATTTTGATTATGACTTTGTTTACAAATTACTAACACAAAATATAAATAAATATAATAAAAATGTAAAGCGTTGTATAATAAAAAAAGATCAAATATATAACCATGTGTGTTTTGTAGCTGGTGTGTCACAAGATGAGCTTAGTTTGATTCAAGAGCTTACTCCTTTCAAAGTGGAGAAGCCTTTAGTTCTCTATCTCGGAATACCTCTAGTGACTAAAAAGGCTCTAAGAGAATGATTTTCAACCTTTATTAGAAAGAATAAGAGCAAAGGTTTCTGGTATGAATTTACATAACATTTTATATTATTTTATATTAAAGAATAAATTTATAATAGTATAGAAGATGAAAATAAATTATGAATAGAAAATATAAAAATTATTTAAAATATATAAAAATTTAAAATCTTTAAGAGTCGACGGTCTCGATATCTTCCCTCACTTCATTCCTGGTTATTAATCTTTGGTGGGTGGATGCAGTTTTGTGCAATCGGTTATCTTTCAGATGCAAATTCTTTTTAGTAGACCGTAGACACTTTGTTATCCCTAAGATTGTTTTGCGGAAGGTTAATCAATTACGTTCTCTGTGGAGGGTGATTGGGTTAATTGACAAGATGACTGTTTTTCAGCATATATGGCCTATCTTGACAGGGCATACCTCCCTTTAGGTTGCCTGTGTGAAGGAGTATTGGCTAAAAACGAGTATTTTTGGAATCTACAGTAGAAGAATCTTAATTTGAAATAAATATTATTATAAGGTGAATATCTAATCCATTAAAAATCTCTATTTATAATTTTAAATTATATCTTAAATATGCAAATTTATTAAAAG